TGCCCGAAAATTTAACTACTACCTCCGGTATTTGGTCTCGCCTGGAAGTTTAACCTTAGAAGGGGGGTAGTGTTATGATAACACAATTTTCGGACTTTCCCTTTACTTTTTATTTTCCGCTTTAACCTTGTACTATAGCTTTCACACATGGTGCCACGCGGCACTTCCCCTTTCTCGCGCCGCGTTGCCTTTCTTCTTATTTTGGACACAACTCTCTCACACAGTGGAGCTGGCCATGCGGGCTAGGCCCCATGACATCATCAGCCACTGTCTCTATCAACTGTGTAGTACACATGTACAAATAACCCTGTAGTAGTATATAAACTCCAATAGATCCAGGAGACTCCTCAGCGAGTCCTCCTGTTGTATACCAACTAACTCTCTGCATCTTAAGGGGTAACCACTCCCTCACCATCTTTCTTTATAATGTGTTCCTGTGTGCACCAGAGTAAATCTTGGTTGTTACATTAGCACTTGTCTCTGTCCACAAATTGTCCAAAACGGGGTTATCAACACTTTTTCCAGCAGGGTCAAATGCTTGTGAAGTTCGGAAAAAGGAGGAACTTATCCTCACTGCCTTACACAAGCAAGGACTTTATCACATCCAAGCAAAACCTGAAATCAACCCGGAGTCAGCTTTTGCAGCAGTAGATGTAAATTTATTGCACAGGAGAATGGGACACATTGGAATGGACCGCTTGCAACGAATGGTTACAAAAAGACAGCTCCAGGACATAGACACCCTTACCGGAACCCCGGAGTTTTGTGAACCTTGTGCTTTAGGAAAGATGAAGAAATTACCTTTCAAGTCCACTGGAGGAAACCGAGCCAAGCGCCCCATACAAATTGTGCACACAGATGTTGGAGGACCAATTAAACCAACTTCCAGGGAGGGTTTTCGGTACTGGATTATCATTGTAGATGATTTCTCCAAATTTCTGATAAAATTGGATATTGACCAGACCAGGGATTGAACCTGGAACCTTCTGGATACATGCCAGCTGCTCTACCAATTGAGCTATATGGCCAAAGTTATACAATGTAGGATCTTAAACATGACATGCAACCACGGACGTCTTACACAGTATAGCTGCTGCATACTGGATTGGCTTACAAATCAGAGGTATTATCCTATGGGGTATTGGTATGTCAGAGTATATTCTAACAATTTCCATGGATATATTTCCTAAAACACAAAAGTGAAGCACTGGAACGATACAAACAATGGAAAAAAGGTGTCCAAACATTCTTCCAAACTCATTTTAGAGACAAAAACTTCACTCCACTGTACACAGAATTCCTCCGGAGCAATGGGGGAGGAGAATATACTGGCAATGCATTCAAAAATCAACTCTGAGGAGATGGTGTCATCCAAGAAACTACAGCTGCAGATACTCCGAAACAAAATGGCATTGCAGAACGCATGAATCAGACATTGGCTACATTAGCAACCACTATGCTCCATGATTCCAAGCTCCCAAAGTCATTTTGGGTAGATGCCATGCAAACAGCTGCATATATCACAGCACGCAGCCCAGCATCAGGACTCCATGGAAAGACCCCATATGAAATACTGTTTAAAAGGAGAGTTGATCCAACTTTATTTTGCCCTTTCGGATGCCAAGCATATGCCTTGATTCTGAAAGACAAAAGGCAAGGGAAGTTTTACTCCAAGGGGCGCAAAGCCATAATGATTGGCTACACACATGGAAAGCAAGCCTACAAACTCCTAGACACTGAAAAACAAAGTGTGTTTTCCAGTTGGCATGTCATATTCAATGAATCTGGAAAAGTACAAAAGGACAACACTGCTCCCTGGAACACAGACCCTAGCACAGATCAGTGGGAGGGACTCATTCCAGAGAATGCTTACTATCCAGACCAAATACACTGGAGGAGGATGATCCTGACCCTCGGATCTGAGATCCAAATGAATTGCAAATAGAACCACATCTCCAAAAAGATGTTCCACAAGCAATAGAACCATATCAGCATAAAGATGTTCCAAGAGCAGTGGGGCAATACCTCCGTGGAGACGTTCCAAGAGCGGTGGGAGCACCTGATCAGCTAAGACACTCTCCACAACAGTCTCTACAACCAAGACCCAAATACTGGCCATCTTCGGAACGGAAACCCAAAGTAGAGTCACAGTCAGTGAGAGGACAGCTCCTCAACATACAGCCAGCTGATGTGGAAAAAGTCCGAATACAGCTAGACAGCCTGTCCATTGGATCAGCTTCTGAAAGGCATACAACACCTCCAAGGAGCCATCCAACACCTCCGAGGAGACATTCAACACCCCCAGGAGTGAGTGGGGCAACACACACAGAAATGCATCTACTTCCTGGAGTACCTGCACAAGTGCCTAAAAGAGCAGTCATACCTGCTAAAGTCCTAGGAGTATGCAGAAGCAGTCACCAGACTTGTCCTGCAGACAAAAACCAAGATTATCAAAGGACTCTAGATGATGAACAGTCTCAAAAAGAGCAGCATGACAACTCCATGGAGAAACCTAACACTCCTGAGGTTCATGAAGAAACATCTGATACAGAGGAGACATTCTTTGCTGGAATAGCAAGTACCGGTCCATCTAACACAGACCTTCCAAGGACACTAAAGGAAGCCTTATCACATCCGGATGGAGAATTATGGAAGTCAGCCTTGGAGGAGGAACTCCTAAGTCTCAATACTAATGCAGTATATGACACTGGCCCACTTCCGAAGGGAGTAAAACCCATCACATCAAAACCTGTGTTCCGGATCAAGTTTGATCAAAACGGAAACATTGAGAGATACAAACTCCGGATTGTTGCACGAGGTTTTACTCAAAGGGAGGGGATTGACTACCAGGAGGTTTTTGCTTCGGTTGCAAACTTAGAGTCAATCCGAATTATTCTAGCCCTGGCAGCAAAGTACGACCTAGAACTTGATCAAATGGACGTATTCACAGCTTATCTCAATGGAGAACTTGAAGAAGAACTGTACATGCTTCCTCCAGGGGGTGTTCCTATCCAACCTGGATACTGCTGGAGATTGAAGAAATCCATCTACGGGTTAAAACAAGCTGGTCGTACATGGAACAAAACTTTTGATCACAAGCTCCAGGAGCTCGGATTCACAAGACTACATCAGAAACATGTCTCTATGTATTCTGGGACAACAAACAAATATGCTTTGTTGTTGTCTATGTAGATGACCTCCTCCTAGGAGCTTCATCCCAAAAATTCATGGATATCACAAAAGCCAAACTTGAATCCATATTCAAAATGCGGGACCTTGGAAAAGCAAAATACATCCTCGGAATAGAAATCCAACATGATCGTTCAAACAAAACAATCTCCCTATTGCAACGTCAATACATTGACACAGTCCTGGAGCGTACTGGAATGAAGAACTGCAAACTAGTATGGACACCAATGGCCCATGGATCAAAACTCTTTGCAAATGCTCCAGGGGAAGATATTGTACAACACGAGATGCATATTGAAGGGTGTCAAGTGTCATACCTCTCAATTGTAGGCTCCCTCATGTATGCCATGCTCGGAACCCGCCCAGACATTGCCTATGTTGTTGGAATACTAAGCAGACATAGCTCAGCTCCAAGGAGCCATCATTGGGAAGCTGCAAAATGTGTCCTCCGATATCTGAAAGCAACTGGGGACATGAAACTACATTATGATGGCACAGATGTCTCCATGGACATGGATTTCTATGGATATTCGGATGCAGATTGGTCTGGAGACCCAGACAGGTCTCGATCAACATCAGGGTTTGTCTTTATCACCATCCGAGGAGCAATCTCCTGGACAAGCAAAAGACAAAGCATGGTCGCTTTATCCTCCACGGAGTCAGAGTACATTGGATTGAGCAATGCTGGACAACACCTTGCATGGCTTCGGACATTTTTTGAAGAAATTGGACATACTCAAAATGGACCTACAACATTGCACTGTGACAATCAAGCAGCTATCATTCTTACACGAGATCCGCAGTTTCATGCTCACACAAAACATATTCAACGGAAATATCATTTCATCCAAGATGACTTAGTATCAAAGGGAGAGGCAGTAATCAAATATGTTCCTACAGGAGATATGGTTGCCGACATTCTCACTAAACCCCTCACTCACGAAAAACACTGGAAATTCTCTAAAGCTATGGGACTATGGTTGCACTCGAGTGGGAGTGACAAAACCGGATAAACCCAGTCTCTGCCGAAGCAACCATTGTTCTCCATGGAGCATAGCCACCACTCCATGGAGCCACTCACCATTGTTCTCCTAGGAGTCATTATACTGTAGTGAGTAACACCTCCGACTATAAGTAGTAGGGGGTTTAGTATAGGAATACCTCAGTTGTTTCTATAGCCTCTCGGGCAGCGGCTGAGGCATATTACATTACATTTATTAGAGATCACCTTAAACTAACATCTATTGTAGTTTCACTTAGGTAAATAATAAAGTCGTTTCTATAGCCTCTCGGGCAGCGGCTGAGTTTCACTTAGTTTTATTACGCGACTAGTTTCGAACTGATCTCGCGTCCGCTTCTTCATGAGGATATCGGCGAGCGAATACAACGCAGTCTTCCCGGCTTCTTTCATCGCATATTGAAGTTGCTCAATAAAAGAGTCATGAATGCCTTTGAACACAGCTGGGTTGATCTTGCCATGTACCGCCTCGGCTGCAATATAATGGTGGACAAGTATTCTCCTGATGGTAGTGAGGCATTCTACTGGGCCTTTAAAAGATCGAGGAAGACACCGAAGCCGTCGCATGAGCCAATTCTCCGTCTTCAAAACAAGCACTCTTCCCATGCTTCCACCCAGCACCTCCGGGAAGAGGACATGCGTTAGTCGGATCTGCTCTTTGATACTATCTTCCATCTCTTCGGTGTCTCTGTGGTTGAACATCATCCACACACCAATCCACCACATTGATTCAAGGTCGTGCAAGGGATTGTAACGAAAAGCGGCATCTGCAAGGGGATCTGCTAGTAACGGCTGGAAGATGTACTCCTGAGTTTCAACCTCCACCGCCATAAAGTTGAGTGTTCCCTGAAAAAATGGAGCATCAGACAAGGCACAAGCGAAAATAAGAAGGGAAGTGACATACGGTACGGATTTCATGATTGCTTTCCTGGTCCGATTTCTTCGTAAATTCTAAGTCGCCCATTTTCCCATTGCCTTCATACACCAAGAGATTACCGGTGCTGACGTCTCGATGCACCCATCCGTATTTGTGCAAAAGTTGAAGGCCTGAATATGGCAAAACCTCAACTTACAGAAAATCACTACCAAGGCCGAATTACTCACTGGTGGTGCCATGGATTATTATTCGAAGGACATCAGCCAGGTATTTCAAAGTGTATATTGGCTCAACGACTTCTTCAAAGACGATCCGATAGTGGACCTTGAACGAATACTGATAATGACCTGTATGAGCAGCACGAGTTTGCCCTGGGATACCCAGGGAAGGTGCAGAGCCGGTGCTAGAAACGGGATCAGCTGGAAGTTTCTTTCTTTGGAGTCGGAAACGAGAATCAGAGGGAATATTGGCATTGCGCAAGTGTAAATCTCGCGTGTGATCAACATGCCCGTCGATAATGACATCTCCATGATCCAGTACCGTCAAGAAGTATTTCCGTATCTCGCTTTTGTCATCATCATCGGCTTCAGCTTCGAACGTTTTGCGAATATCTCCTTCCCTGTCACGGTCCTCGTCAACCCAAGCATCCTTGATAGCGACAGGTTTTCCTTCGACTTCGCCACTTTGGATATTGAATCGACGAGCTTTAAAGACTCGAGTTCCTCGTCCACGTAGCGCGTCAGCCCCAAAGTCAGACAGAATTTCCTCTGTGCGGTAGATAGCTGGAGCTTGTCCGTCTGCTCTGGGAGAATGGACAGTGATATCGTAGCAGATTTTTCCATCCACATTCACACACTTTATGGTGGGGTCCCATCCAAGATCCGCCCTTTCCGCGTAGGTGAATGATAGAACGCATTGTATCAAAAACTCGTGTTCCTATAGGTACTATTTGAGAGGCAAATGCAGAATGGTAGTATTTAACTAACCCCTATGAAATCAAACGGCTTCGTAGTGAATACCGTCGAACGATTTGCAAACCAAAATCTCATCTGATTGGCTTCGACTGTTATGCCGAACGCAAATCTTCGGCAGGGATCGCTTCGCAGGATGTGATGGAGACTCCACACAATCTTCCGTACATTCTTCAAGAAATAGGTGAGTTTCTCCGTTGCAAGGATATGATGGTCAGAACTTACATCATCTATGTCATCATCGCCAGCCTTCTTCTTGAATTCAGTTGCGACAGCTATGTCGTCCCAAGAAATTGCAGGGTTTTTGTTTGATCCTTTGTGAACCGGGGGTTTATTACTGTCATAGAGGACAAAATAACCATCAGGACGAGTTGAGTTCGATCGCACAGATTCTGGTATCGAGTTTGGGTTATCCATGTACGTAGTTCGCTTTCTAGTCTTGCAAAGACCACTACATTCGCATATCTGCATTATAACCTCTGTAAGGGGCATGAAAGATATTTCCTCATTATCTTTAGATTTGGCTGGATCTGACTTGAAGGCGGCCCATCGTCCATCTTTGATATGCCCCTTGTCGAGAAGCACCTGCTTCACATTAGCAACATTGACACATTTCAATTGAGAGGTTGCATTGTCCAGAAAGAATTTGACTGGGACTTCTGGGATTGAGGTGCCCAGATCGCTCATGACAACATCACGCCGCTGTTCCAGCTTACCCAAGCGGTAAACACCACTCGATGTCTGCTTTGGAATGGAGGGAGTATCTGCGTTGAATGAAACACTTTGTCTGTCGCTCGCGCGCTGTGGGGTCTTTGGATTTTCCATGATGGTCGTAGTTGGAAGGAATGTAAGAGCAACTCTCGTATCGGACGTGGGTCACGTGCCGGTTCAAACTCTCGCACAGCAAACCAGTTAGAGTCCGTTTGGGAACTCTTTTCCAGCAGAAAGCCCGCCTCTACGATCGCTTAACATGTGGCGTCAAAACTCCATCTGAAGCGGAGACCAAATTATATCAATGTCCGAGTAAGGCAAGTAAGTTGGAAGGGCACGCACCAACGTACCAGCAGCGAGAACGCCATTGATGGATGACCAGGACAATGATTTCAGCGATCACGAGAGTGTGGAGGACAACATGGAAGAACATGGGCTTGACTTAAATACCATTCAACGCAAGAGGCGCCTGCTGCTCACAACACAGCTCAGCTCAATCTTAGCCATGCTACTGCAAGTAATCGTATCCACTATGACTATCTATGCTGAATCCGAATTTCTGAATTGCCAAGAGCCAATTCTGTATCATACATCAGTCTTGACAGGCCATGGATGGGTCACTGAGCTGCTCAACGGCCACCCTGGCCATATATGGACTGAGTTGGGTGTCAACAAGAGGGTGTTTGTGAAGCTTATTGATTTGCTCGAAACAAATGGCTACACCGACTCCAAAAATGTTTCCATTGAGGAACAATTGTCCATATTCCTGTATGCATCTGTTACAGGGCTTTTGGTTTGCCATTTAGGGGAGAGATTTCAGCATGCAAATGACACAATTTCTTGGTGAGTCTGCTCTTTTAATTTATCTCTCTTAATTAATATTATTATTAGATATTTCCATTGTATGCTCAATGCTTTTACATCCCCCAATATATACTCTGCTTACGTCTGTTTGCTATCTGCGACTGACCCCCCTGCATCCTACATTGCTGATAATCCAAAACTCTGCCAGTTCATTAATGCCATAGGTGCAATTCAATTGCCTTGCTTGTTGTGACTTCAATCTGAAGTTCACATACATGTTGAGATGCTCGCATACACAATCTTTGGATTCCGGAGGGGAAGTATTATCTTGCCAATGGAGGGTTTCCGTCTTGTGATCAGCTCCTGGTACCTTACCAAGGAGAGCATTATCATCTGTCCAAGTATACAAGGGGTAACTGCCGGTGAGTTCCTTTGTTTTATTTTTTAGTTTATTATACTAATTAAACTGATTATCTAGGCCTCAAAATCACCGTGAATACTTCGATCTGCGCTATGCATCCACCCAGAACATTATTGAGAAATCCCCCCGGCCCTCTGTGTTGTTCACAATTTCATTCGGATTCATGATCCGAGTGATATTGATGACTATAACACAGATATCTTGGGTCCGGCCACTAACTCTCAAATTGGAGATCTTGCAGAGGGCCCTCCTACCAAAGATAATTGAATTCAAGCAAACAATCAGCATAAGCAGTTAGCATTAGTGATGTGGGATGATTATCAAGAGGAATTAGCACAAAGGGGTTTGATTTAACAAATTCTTGTTTTTGTCCTGTGCTAATATTCCCTCTGCTTTCACAAATATTTGTACTTACGTAGCATCAATTCAACTTGGTGCATGCTGTCCTATTATTTGCAAAAACAAATCCATTAAGATATAAAATAACAATTGTATAAAGCACTATGGACAACATGGACAACAAGTTAACAAAGTTTGGCATAAAGTTTGGGCAAGCACCACATCAAGCCATACTGCACAAATATCATCACATTGCACAAGACTGAGGTATGTCTCTACTAATGTCTTGTCCTCCCTAAACCTCTCAATGAGTTGGACAAATTTGGAAACGGGTAAGTGATTGTTGATTTCCTGGACCTTCATAATAGCAAGTCCTAGACGAATGTTGGTGGTCAAAGGAGCAGGAGCAACAGATGGAGTGGGGGGGCTTGCTATTCCTTTTGAATGGTTATAGACATATCCTTGATCACAGTCTCAATGTTGGTGAGTTGACCCTGCATTCCACAGAGTGCATTTGCAGTCATCAAGCGCGGGGTTTTTGACGTATGTGATGTGCTGACATATATGGCACTGGAAGTCCCTGGGGCTGATGCTGAAATTGATGGTTGGGGGGATAACCCAGCTTGCCGCAGCCTTATGCTTCCCCTTGCTTGACAACACCAACACAGCACTTGAGATTGGGGATGTAGCCAGAGGAGCAGGTAGAGATGATGGTGAAGGCAAGGCAACTAGCCAGCCGCTCACTGTGGATGATTGAGCCGGAGCAGCAGGGGTACAAAGGACTTCTGCAGCCACTGAAATCAACTTGGGTGGGGTCTGCACTTGCAGCGTTGTTGATGGGATGGAGGGCTGATAGAAATGTATGGATGAAGCGGCTCGGGGTGTACAAAAGGCATGTACACCCCTGGCTGCATGACCAGACATAACAGTGTCTAACTTCTTGAAGTAAGGCCAGCCTTTGTTCTTGAAGCCAGTGACAGTAGGATTGCACTAATTTGAAAAGTAAGCACATTGTATAGCTGGGAAATGAATGCTTACTCACCTTGACATAGTCTGTCCACTGTGTCTTGCTTTCTTCTGTGATGCTGAGTCCGGTTTCAGAATCCCAGTGTATACCTGAACTGTTTGTGATCAAGGCCGCAATAAGCTGATTTGTGCACTTTATCTGTGGTAGAATCATTAGATGTAGGATATAATGATTCTCAGAGCCCTGATAAGAGTACTTACCCTCCCTCATTTCTTGCTGTAGGTCTTCCAGGATTTAGGTGCACCCACAAAGGGGCTTTTGGACAACAGCAACTCGACCTCAACCCAGAATGACTTTGCAAAACTCATACCATCAGCCACTTTACTCCAGTTCTCTACTATATAGTCAATCATGATATGCTGTTGACTCTTAGACCAAACCACCCAGTCCTTGGAAGTTTGTCCAGTCGTAGTAAAATCTGTATCAGGTGGAAAAACAGTTGATTGGCTGTTAGCTGGGACCGGTTGATTGTGGATCATCCTGAGTGAATAGCGATGGCACTTTTGTTTGCAAAGAGGTCCCTCAGCTGCCAAAGAGGCAAATACCTTCCTCTTTATGGTGAGCAACTGGTGTAGGTTGCAGTATGGGTCTGAGTGCAAATGGGTGGCACAACAGCATAGCGGCACAGATGGCTGTGGAGAAAGCTATCAGGCTAAAGCTCCTGGACAAGCGCTCGCAAGAGTTCCCAAATGGACTCTTAGTCTTGTCCAAACTAAGGGTGGCGTGCAGGAGCCCCCCATTTGGTACCAATAAAGCTTGATCCGAGTGATTGAACAGTTGGCTTGAGACGGCACATGGACACTTTGACGGCTGGAACGGCCAGAGTCGGCATGAGAAAGAGGATAGGGACTTGGAAGAAAAATAATATCATTGCAATGTGCATCCCAGACAACGCTACATCACTAATAACTCTGTACATACATGCCTTACACTCCCTAACCAGGTTTTCACAAAAGGTAGGATCCCTAATCACTATATCTGACTCATCTGCATCTAATTTTTCCAGACTCCAAATAGATATTAACCATAAATAGCGACAGATTTCATCCAACAGGTTACAACCTTGTTCACATGCTGCATGAACACTGTCACTATTGACTGTGACAGTATTAATGTCCAGGGAGCATATTGCAGCAGCCTCACATCAAAAGTATGTAAGTTTTTTTTTTTGCTTTCTTCAGACAATGCTGTGAGTACTCACCTGTGTATTACCCAACACTGTCAAGGGTGTTACCAACAACATCCATCACTAGTCTCTTTGAAACCAAGCCTATGCCTGGAACCAGACGCTTCAGCAGCTCACACAAGATCATCATCAGGCCATAGAAGACTGCTGTTTTACCCCCACCAGTAGGCATTATCAACAGTTGTGATATTTCTGCTAACAAATTCACCCAGCTCTGAACCTGGAATAAATGAGGGCTGTTTTGCCATCAAGGCATGCAAGCCTCCATAATTCCTCGGATGATGGTGCAGCCTTCAAGGGATAGCCAATCAATTGGAGGCTGTGTAGTTTGATCATTGGTATTGTGCAATACAAGAAGCTGAGGGAAGTTATACAGAAGTCAGGTCTTCCCCGCTAGTACTTTGAAACAGGTAGTGTGTGTATTGAAGGTTTTTAGCTGAGAAGGGGTAAGTGTAGAAGTTGTAAATCAGAATTGTTACTTGTACAAATGAATGAGTATATCACGGAGATAAGCTTTGAATTTTTGATGCTTAAATTGCAGCGGACAACTCCAACTCGGCCACTCAGCTAAAAAGATATGGCGCTCCAAGTGCACTTTTAATGTGGTGCAACAGAAACTGTAAATTGCGTGGTACACAGACCTAGCTATTCAAATAGTATACATGTGCTCACAGTACAATGTTGCAACAAGGCAATATATGCAAACAGATGAGCCACACATATTCTGAGGCAAAAGCTTGACATTAGTTCATCAATTTGACCAACAAAAATATTATTGCAAGATCTGAAGTAAGGACTGTCTGCTACAAGCAAGGGCAATGTCGATGATAAGAACTGTTGTTAGAAAACCACACACAAAAACAAACTAACACACAATCCTCCCAGATTCCACGGAACTTGTTTATGGGCTTTGCCTCCTAGAACAGTGGGTGCTCTGGTTGCTCATGGGGTGGTATGTATGACGATCCTTCAAAGTAAAACCCAGAGATGTATGGGTGTGGGTTTTGAGGAGGAGGGATAGTTGGATGATAAAAGATAGGGGCTTTGTGATGAGTATGGACAAGCACTACCTTGCTAATTGTAGCACAAGGTAGGTTTGAAAACTACAAAATGATGAGGTGATGAGGTTCCCAGTGATAGCAGGCTCCTGATGCACAAACTGTAGTGCTCAGAAGGATTTTAATTGAAAGGGATGACAGTGACTTTCAAAAATGACGAGTCACGATGACAGCAGATAGCAGTGGTAGCAGTGGGAAGTATTGTGACCACACTGGATCACAAGTAGCAGAGTAGTGAACTTGAGATTTAGAGAAGAAGTCTGAATTGGAGTTCTTGTTTTTACAAGGTAAAATACAGGGGATTATATAGTAAAAGAAAGGTAGGGTATGCACAGTATAACTATGCAAAAAGAATGAGAAAGAACATGAAGGAAGGAATGTACGCTGACAAATCCTGCATAGGTAGTACAGGATAAGGTTGTCAAAATAAGGAAAAGAAAGGGATAAAACAATAAATGCTGTGTAAGTAATGTTACAGGTTTGTACAGCCATAAAGTAAAGTCCAATAGCAGAAAGAGAGCAAGAAAATCATGATGTCATGGGAAGATGCAGTAAAAAGGGCAAGGCAAAAAATATCAGTATCAACACAGTTCCTTTATTGTCAGTCAGGCATTCTAAAAAAATATGTGTCCATAAAAAATGATTCAAAAAATCAAAAATAAGCACACTGTAAATGAATGTTCTGCTGAAAAAAAAAGAAACTGGGGCCACCGGTCCACCACCTAGTCCAAATCCGACGGTTCCATGGCCTTACCAATGGACTGGTTATATTGGACCACCTGGTCAAATGAGGAGGGAGTGGGGTAGTTCCAATTTGGAACAAGTGAGTCCCAGGCAGCGTGTGGTAGGTGTAGCTGTAGCAAAGACGATGGACGAAAGATAAATGTACCCAAGTGAATGGGACAGCAATGTACATAGGCAACGCAAGGGGATGAACCTTCTCCAGCTCAAAAACTACCCACCCACACCCCAACCAGGCGAGACGAGCAACCAATGTTTTGATGGTATATGATGGAAGATCAATGTCATGAAGATGGACCTTTTGCCCAACTTGGACCGGCCACCAGGGCTTTGCTGATATCAGCAGCGGCACATGGTGGTTGACGGATTGGCGATGGAAACGTATAGAAAGTGGTGATATCAGATATGGTGGGGGAGCAAAGAAGATGAGGAGGAGGAGGGTGGAGGTGACAAGGAGGTGAACCAAAATGGGGATCCAGAAGCAACCATCAGGTGAGAATAAAAAAGAGAGCAAGGGTCCCATGGTGGGACTGAGTAAAGAAAAAAGTAAGGGAGAACGACCAAAGCGAGGGCGCAATGTGTAGACAGTGGCGATGCAAAAATTTGCCAAAATGCAGAAAGTACCGAATGGAAAAGCAAAGGTGAGCGCGACTGGATTGCCTAATAGAGGTGGTGCTGATCAGCCACAAGTTCAAAAAAGGCAATATTAATTACTATTCCAAGTGGCACAAAGGCGAGTCTTTTTGGATATTTGCTTCATTATTGACCCCTGTCCATGCTACCAATCAACTTTGGTGCATGACAGCACACCTCAAACTTAAAGCTGGATGTTCACTTATGCTCCTCCACAATATTGATCACCTAAATGGACTATGTAATGGAACATACATGATTTTGATAGAGATGAAGAAAAGAGTATTGAAGTGCCGTGTCTTAGGAGGAATACATGCAGGAAAGATAACTCTTATTCCACTCCTCACATTGGAACCTTCATCAGAAGAATTGCCCATCAAGCTATCACATTGTCAATTCCCTGTCTGTGTTGCCTTTGCCATGACCATCAACAAGTCTCAAAGTCAATCAGTGACACAGGTTGGGCTGGATTTATTTGTTGTAGTGTTTTCACATGGGCAACTTTATGTTGCATTGTCTTGCTGCACTTCAGGAGAGAGAATAAAAGTGCTATTTCCACATGGTTCAAATGACAGATGTACCATCAATGCGGTGTATCCCAAAATTCTGACTGGCTTTATCCCTGACTGGCAAGTAGATTTTCCCCCAATTCTCACCCTTTTTACTAAAGTGTTTTGTTCTCAGATCATATTATCATCCTTTACCATTTCTGGAGCCTCTTTTTTTTATTTCTCATCAATTTATCAATGTAATACCTTAGACTTTTTACGTTACAATATATGTTGATGTTTGTAAAGATTCAATGAATCATCTGCTTGAATTCAGTATACTGTGCACAAGTTTAGGGCAGGCTTATAAGGACATTCAATGACAGAACAGCAAGTCAAACATGCATCATGGGATTCAAAGACTTAACATACATTACAGACAGCATAAGTTCACTGACTTAACATTTTGATCACTTGACAGTATTATTATTATTATTATTATTATTATTATTATTATTATTATCATAGCAAAAACATCGCACCAGTGGCAGAGCCACGGGCTGGACCTCGTAGATGAGAACACTGGACCCGTTCGCGCCGCCACCACCACCCCAAAATAGAGCTCGTAACGCACTCCCACCAATCCGACCTCTGTTACCCAGTGCGCAGCTTATCCGCGCTTTTGAACCATTCTCCATATCCCTTCGGCCAATTCATACACGGCTTGCTTTTGTTTTTTCTTTTCTTGTCTTCGTTGCCAGCAACGATGAATGAAGACTTTGCAAACCTCGTCCATCGTGCAAATCCAGCCGCAAGCCAATACCAGCCCGCCAACAATGGCTATCCACCATCTGCTAGTGTGCACGGGAATGGACCTTATGGCTCCTACACGTCTGAACCTCATCTCATGGACCCTTTCTTTGACGACGACGACGACGACATGCCCGACTCTGCGTTCGGGAGAACACTCCCAATGCAGTCTCAAGAAAGTGGTCTGCCTTTGACGAGGTCTGCTGCTCCCCCCGCAGGTACGGGGCAATCTACTGTTAGTCTGCCTGGAAACGGTATTCCTCAAGGCTGGACATTCGACGATGAAGAAGTTCAGGTCCCTGGCCAGCCCCCATTCGCAGGTTCAGCTTCTTTTCCTGGTCTTTCGCGTCCGTCGCAACGAGAACAATCCCAAAAACCTAGACGGAAGTGGAAATGGCCATGGCACAGAGAGGAAATCTTGACAGGAGAAAGAATCATTACCCTTAACAACAGTTCTGCAAATCTCGACTTTTGCTCCAATTTTGTCTCTACAAGTAAATACAACATGGCGATCTTCTTACCAAAATTCCTTCTCGGTGAGTCGGCTGAAATACTGCTCATAGATACTCTCTGAACTGGCAATTTAGAGCAATTCTCCAAATACGCCAACTTATTTTTCTTGTTCACCGCTTGTATCCAACAAATACCCGGCGTTTCACCTACTAACCAGTATACCACCATTGCACCTCTTGCTGCTGTTCTGCTTGCATCTGCATTCAAGGAAGTTCAAGAGGATTTGGTACGACGTTCTTTTATTTTCCAGATAACATGCTGAAAGTTATCTCGTTTTTAGAAGCGGCATCAGTCAGATTCAGAGTTGAATGCTCGCAAGGCCAAAGTGCTCACAACCCAGAACACGTTTGCGGACAAGAAATGGAAAGATATCCAAGTTGGCGACATCGTTCGCGTGGAAAGCAACGAGTTTATCCCTGCAGACCTGGTTCTCATCAGCTCAAGTGAACCAGAAGGTCTTTGCTATATAGAAACATCAAACTTAGACGGGTATGTCCACCTAACATGGTGCATATTGTTACTGCTAACATTGTTTGGTGCAGTGAAACCAACTTAAAAATCAAGCAGGGCTCACCGCACACCTCTTCACTCACATCACCACAGCTAGTGACCACACTACATGGGTCTCTGCGCTCGGAGCATCCCAATAACTCCCTTTACACGTATGAAGGCACTTTCGATCTTGTTTCGGATGGCGGTGTACCAAAGCAAGTTCCGCTAGGCCCCGATCAGCTTCTGCTCAGAGGCGCTCAGCTGCGGAATACACCATGGATTTACGGAATTGCCATTTTTACCGGTCATGAGACCAAGCTGATGAGGAATGCAACGTGAGCCCTTGCGGCCATCCAATATTCATCAGGCTTACAGCCTATTATAGCTCTGCCCCTATCAAGCGGACGGCCGTCGAGCGGCAGGTAAATGTACATATCGTATTTCTCTTTGCTTTTTTACTGGCGTTGTCTATCGGATCTACTGTTGGAGCGAGCATCAGAACGGTATGTCTGTGTGTGCTGAGCTACTGAGTGCTACACTGATAGCGCTGCAGTGGTTCTATTCTAGTCAACAATGGTATCTGTTCGAAGCTACCACTCTGAGTGGCCGAGGTGAGCGCTTCGTCAGTAACCCCCTTGAGCCTCATTCAAACTTGTCATGAATCATCGTCAGCCAAGGCCTTTATTGAAGGTGTGTAACTTGTTATCACTTCTCACTCCTCGCTCACCTTCTTACAGACATCCTGACTTTCATTATCTTATACAACAATCTCATCCCCATCTCGCTTATCGTGACCATGGAAGTGGTAAAATTTCAGCAGGCTCAGCTAATTAATTTTGACCTCGACATGTACTATGCCAAGACAGACACCCCAGCACTATGTCGCACCTCATCGCTCGTGGAGGAACTCGGCCAGATTGAATTTATATTCAGTGACAAAACTGGCACTCTAACGCGGAATGAGATGGAGTTCCGGTGTTGCAGTATTGCAGGGGCAGCATATGCAGAGGTCGTGGATGAGAGTAAGCGAGGGGAGGAAGACGGGAAAGAGGGGTGGCGGACTTTTGAAGAGATGAACTCTTTGCTCAGTGACGGAAGAAACCCATTCCTGGATTCAAAGCCAGCTTCCAGTAACCAGTATGAGCGCGAAGTCGTAAAGGAGTTTTTGGCCTTGCTGGCGGTTTGTCACACTGTTATTCCTGAAGTCCGCGATGGCAAGACATATTACCAAGCAAGTAGCCCGGACGAGGCCGCCCTTGTCGCGGGGGCAGAATTACTCGGTTACCAGTTCCACGTTCGTGCTTTCTTATGGTTTTAAATATCGTAGAAAATTTAACCACATTTTGTGCAGACCCGCAAGCCGAAATCTGTCTTTGTGAACATACAAGGAACCTCACAGCAGTTCGATATTCTCAATGTCTGCGAATTCAATTCTACTCGGAAGCGAATGTCAACTATTGTTCGTGCACCAGACGGGAAGATCAAGCTATACTGTAAGGGTGCCGATACAGTTATCCTTGAGAGATTAGGCAAGAATCAGTTATATACAGAAAAGACGCTCGCCCACCTTGAGGTAAGTCTCTGGCTCTATTCGTCTACATATCTTCTTACGCTTTGGTTTACTTCCAGGATTATGCTACGGAAGGACTGCGAACGCTGTGTCTAGCTTACCGAGATATTCCAGAAGCCGAATACAAGCAATGGGCAGGTATATATGAGCAAGCTGCTGCAACTATCAATGGTCGTAGTGAAGCGCTCGACAAGGCTGCGGAAATCATCGAAAAAGACATGTTCCTGCTAGGCGCAACTGCTATTGAGGACAAGTTACAGGAAGGTGTACCCGATACGATTCATACTTTACAAATGGCAGGGATCAAGGTATGCATGCGCCTGCCTTGCTATTATTGAACACGTTCATATCGTGCATATTGACAGATATGGGTGCTGACGGGTGACAGGCAAGAAACTGCGATTAACATTGGCATGTCCTGTAGGCTCATCGCTGAATCCATGAATCTGGTATGTCGAAAGTAGTCCTAGATATTTGACCAGACTTAATGGGATACTCTAGGTGATTATAAATGAGGAAAATGCACATGACACACAGGACTTCATCAATAAACGCCTTTCTGCTATTAAGAACCAACGCAGCACTGGGGAGCTAGAGGATCTCGCTCTTGTAATCGGTTCGTATCGTTCCCTTCCACCTTGTTTGCCTGACTTATATGCCTTGAAAGATGGGAAAAGTCTCACTTATGCTCTAGAGAAAGAGCTGTGTAAGTCGTTCTTGGAACTGGCTCTAATGTGCAAGGCCGTCATATGCTGTACGTAGAAAAGTGGTTTTATCATGTAGGCAGCCAAAGTGACAGTGAACTAGGTCGAGTATCACCCTTGCAAAAGGCACAGGTGGTGAAACTTGTCAAGAAGAACCAGAAGGCTATTCTGTTAGCCATTGGAGACGGTGCGAACGATGTCAGCATGATCCAGGCTGCCCATGTAGGTGTTGGTATCTCTGGAGTTGAGGTCCGTTGTCTTTGCTTGAAAATGGCACATTGCCTGATTTCTTCTCAGGGTCTACAAGCAGCGCGTTCTGCGGATATTGCCATTTCACAGTTCCGTTATCTTAAGAAGCTTCTACTGGTCCATGGTGCATGGAGCTACCAAAGGCTTTCCAAGCTCATCCTCTGTGTGCTATTTTGTTTGCTTGTCTATTGTCGTATTCATATCTGCTTTTATTTCAGATTCTTTCTATAAAAATATCACTTTATATATGACTCAATTTTGGGTAAGTATTTCACTTCTGCTTGGCCTACGGAAAAGTAACATTGCTTTTAGTTTTCATTCTTTAACAATTTTTCCGGACAAATTGCTTACGAATCATGGACACTATCTTTGTACAACGTTGTTTTCACTGTATTGCCCCCGCTTGTTATCGGTGTCTTTGATCAATTTGTCTCAGCCCGAATACTGGACCGCTACCCGCAGCTATATCATCTGGGGCAGAAGAACGCGTTTTTTACCAAAACAGCATTTTGGCTTTGGGTAGGGAATGCCTTGTATCACAGTGTGGTAAGTTGTCATTTGTACTTTGAGTGTCCTTGATATTCACTTTTGCAAGATTTTGTTTGGCTTTTCGGTTATCCTGTTTTGGGGAGACTTGAAACAATCCACAGGGTTGGATTCGGGTCATTGGTTCTGGGGTACGATGCTGTATTTAGCGGTACTTCTGACTGTTCTTGGAAAGGCTGCTTTGGTATCGGAGTAAGCCCTACTCCATTCGTTTGCTTTGTCTTGCTAATTGGTGATCAATCAGTCTATGGACAAAATATACTGTTGCTGGTATGTAGCATATTCATCTTATAGGATTCTTCATTGATATTTAATCTTCAGCAATTCCTGGTTCATTTGTCTTCACCATGTTATTCCTCCCGCTATATGCTACCGTTGCACCCGCCATTGGGTTTTCTACCGAGTATTATGGGCTCGTTCCTCGACTTTGGACCGATGCTGTGTTCTATTTCGTGCTTCTCCTCATCCCAATATTCTGCTTGTCTCGTGATTTAGCTTGGAAATAGTAAGTATTTTCGATTCGATGCACCTTTATATAGTACTGAATTTTTTTCCAGTTATAAACGAACGTATCTCCCAGCATCGTACCATATTGCACAAGAACTACAGAAGTACAACATTCCAGACTACCGACCAAGGCAAGAACAGTATGTTTCCACTTCCACTTTTCAAAGTAAATATTATCTTATCATTCTTGCAGATTCCAAAAAGCCATCAAGAAAGTGCGTGCTGTTCAACGTATGCGGCGTAATCGAGGTTTCGCGTTCAGTCAGACGGAGAATGGGCGCCAGGATCAAACAAAACTTATTCGAGCATACGACACGTCAAAATCAGATACCAGACCATCAGGATACTAGACCCATTTTATTTTTCTTTTTACATGCACGGACTATGTATTTTACCTTAGAGGCTAATATGCTCGGATGCCTACTTCCAAGCTGTCCACCCAACAGTGGTGGAGTTCCTCTCCCTCAAAGACCCAGCTATTACTCACCTCCCCCTTCTTTTCGTGCGCATCTGTCTCATATAGGATATCTAATTTGGCGTAGTGTTTAACATTGGAAATACATTATATCATTCAAACTCACGGTACTACAGCAGCGCCGCTGGTACAAAACAGGGACGTGGGGTATTCAACATTTGGTAGTTAAATCAACATAAAACAGATGTTACAAATCTTCTTGAGCCTAGTCCTCTTCCTCGTCCCAGTCTACACTTTCGAGCGCCGCATCACCTTCATCGTACAGTTTATCCAGTCCTGTTAGAAATTCTAGATAACCTGGCTCGTTGAAGGCTTTCAGAAGCATATCAAAACCATTTTCTTCGTATGCCTTCAAGACCTAGAAAACAAAGTATTGATATGCCGAGAGAACAAGCATGAAAGAAGACATACAGTCTCGCTGCATCCCGTGCACTTGTCGTACGCAGCCCCTGTAATAGGCAAATTCCTGAACTGAGCCAAGTACCCACGTAATTGATGTGGTACAAGGCCGAGGACACTATCTGATGAACTAGGCTCTGCCAAATCATTTCCTTTTTGAGGGGCGGGGGCCGCTGCGTGAAGCCTTTCATTCATGTGTAAATTAGTGCAAAGGCGTAGTGAAGAAGAAAATATTGGTATACCCGTCAGGATGTTGCAAGAGCGAAACAAGCAGTTCTACAGCAGTGGATGCTGCAATGGGTGCCAAACCAGGCCTGGTTACCGTGCACATTTGATCAAGAGTCCGATCGGTTAATGACTGTAAAAAGTCGATCAAGAAACATGATCACGGAAGTGCGGGAAATACATACATCCGCAGGAGCCACGATATCGTTGCAATAATAACAGCCCAGACGGTTTTCGGAGGAAGTCGAAGCACGAGCACCGTGTCGCATCACCAGGTAAGTATCAAATCCAAGGGCAGCATTCATCACTATCTGCAACAATGTCATCGGTCCACTCAATAAAGTTGACATAAAGGCGACAAACCTTTCCTTTCGCTGCTCCCAAAACGGTGGGGAGCCATCTACTTTCGCGCGAGTCCATCAAAAGGAATACCACGTCATGGTCGTCAAACAATTTCTCTAGCAGTTGCACGTCTTTCTTAGCCTGCTCTACTGATGCTGGTGGTATAGGATGACCGGGCATGGGTATCGACATATCGTAACCCGTAGCATTCTACGGAGATGCGGGAGGTCACGTCAGCTGGAGAAACAAGCACTTTCAAAGGCACATACAATACCGGGGAATATCTTCTTCAAACTTGCAGCAGCACATGCCGCCTTAGGTTTCCCACCATTAAGACAGTCCTCAAATTCGAAAAGGGGTTGTCGAACAGGATTGGAGAATGAAACACGTGCCGAATCTACGAAAGAAATTGTTCTAACACCCCATCCCTATATGCACACACATATGAGAACAAACCAATATAGTAGAAGAAACATGTATATATACCATAAGCGTACGTGCAACGTAACACCCAAGAGTACCAGCACCAAGCAGTAGGCATTTCGTGGATGCCACTTTATCTAGATCCAAAGAGGGCAAGATTCGCCATCGCATGAGCTTGAGATTGAGGTCGACTGCTTGATCTGCGAGCCTATCCGAATGCGATGGGTTAGATGGATAGTGAATTAAGTTGGTGCACCCACCTGGTTGGGTCCATCATAGGTGCTAGATCAGCCATCCGAGGAGCTAATTTTCCAGCTGGATTCTTTTCCCAACCAACAGCGCTAGGTTTTGCTGTAGGATCAGCAGCAGCAGGGCTCGTCACAATTGCAAAGCGACTTCTCCAAGGTTTACCGGCAGATGGCAATTCGCTATCTCTCCAGCATAGAACACGTACAGAAGAGGAGTCCGCTGCATGCGTGGCTCGAAGATAAGCCAGGAGATTACGCAGAGGCCATCCTGGATTTTCTGCCATAGCGGATGGATCGATGAAACCAACGGTTCGCTGTTCGGAGATTTTGTCATGACAGTGAGACCAGACATGAGGACTACGAAGAAATCTAGTTTGACTTACAGACGCAGGAGCTACATTGGCGAAAAATTCATCATACTCCTCTACACCCGCGACTTCTGCACCATCCTCTGACAATCGAACAAGGAAAAACGGTCTTGTTTGCTCGTGAAGTTGGTTGTATACAGAAGTCAACTTTAGGTTGATTAGCATTTACCAAGCTACGAAAAATGATTGACATACTTGTTTGGGCGATAACTCTTCTGCTGCAGCTTTCCAGCCATTCTCAGATATCTCCCAGGAAGGTTTTGAAGCGAACGCAGGAAAGGAGAACCAGTAGTAATATCTATATTTCTTGAGATCCGCGAATGTAATCAGTAAGAACTGATTCAAGAGGGAGGTATCTTTCTTTGTGACAATGCTATCCCATATCTAATCAAAGCGATCAGATACGACAACACGCGCAGTGAGTTACATGAAACACACCTTTTCAGAAGCCTGGTTAAAAAACGCGGTCTTATCAGAGGCCTTGAAGTCTTCGATCGTGTTGTAGTTCTTGAATATACCGCTTGCAGCAACCGAGAATGCCGGCAACCTGAATGATTGTTCAGTTCCATCCAACACGAGTGATCAAGTGAAGGGCTCTGACTGGGATGATTTCTGAAATGCTTCTCCGCCTACAGCCAGGTTACAGCCAAGAGGTATTTCTTGGCCAGTTTCTCGATCTGTGATTGACCGCCCCGTTGTATATGATCCTATCACTGGTACTTCTTCATCAGACAACTGGAGAACATCGATCTTCATTCGTGTCAGATCATGCCAGAAAGCAGGCTGCACAAGGGAAGAAAAGGGCGTGAATTGTACGACAGGCATCGCGTCAGTCGTGGTCGTTAGAAATCAAGAGGCTGGCTTGGGTACTTACTGATACATGCAGACAACACAAGTCCTGAAATGGAAACCCTCATGGTGACCCACGCGAGAACTGTGCACAAAGAAACCTTACTGAGCTTGAAGCTGCCGTAACCGTTGTGGTTTCAAGGAAATTCATATTCAAGTCCTATACATACATAGCAAATAGTACAGACAGTAGTAGTAATAAGGTAATTGGTAAGATGAATAGAAGATGCATGATCATGACAGGTGGCACAGATATGGGTAACAGAGTTTCACAGGCTCAAGCGCTCAAGAACATCACAGATCATAGGCAACTCTCGCACTAACCCAGGGATAAGGATAGTTGCGCTGGTAGAAGTTGCGAACCGTCCGTCGACCGGCAATTCTGGGAATAGTTGCGTAAGATGCTCCCAGCTGTGAGAATGCAACGTCAGAAAAATCGTAAGATGTTGCTACACTCGCAAGAACAACTTACAACAATTTGGTGCTTAGTGTCAAAGAAATCGGTAGAATATCTGATAGTCATAAAATACATCAATAAATCTGCAATTGTGGTAAAATATAAAAGGACTAACCCAGGGAAATGTTTAGTTGGTACAAGCCCATCATGTCCATCGAATAGTGTAGAAGTCCATTCCCAGACACCGCCGTTCGAGCCACGTCCTCCAAATTCCTCACAACCCGTGGTGGGACTAAGCGTTATTAAATCAGCCAGCCAAGTTTATAAACAGAAAGAAAGAAAAACACTCACGGAAAAGGATGCCAATTTCTGAAACCAACATTAGCACCGCCGTCGTGCCCAACCTCGTATTTATCCAAGAACAGTCTCAGCTCAGGCTCGGTAGGAAGTCGACCACCCTTAGACTGGGCATACATCGAGAGATCATCGTACGATGTAAGCACTGGCCAGTGCTGAGCAACGACCATGGGTACAGGTCCATACAAAGTTCGAACCTGATGCCCATAAATGAGTTCACAGTCCATTAAAGTTGTCGGATTTACCGACCTTGATATTTTCGTCCTCCTGCACCCAGCTTGCGGGCATCTTCACTAGACCACTTATTTTCCAAAAGTCGTGGAACTCGCCGTTTGTTACAGGGCGCCAGTCGATCTTGAACTGTTTGACTTCAATAGCCCTTGCAGGGCTCTCGTTGTCCCAACCAAATTCATGCCCGTCGACGCTCTCAGAAATGCCGGACATGAGATCATCTCCTTCAGAGTCGTCATGCCCAAGCACTACAGTAGTTGGGCCGAGGGTTACGGTAGGTGCCGAAAGAGGCTCGAGGGAATTATTCCACTGCTCTGACAATGCAGCCCACGGCGGAATAGTGAAGCCTGGCGGAGGCAGGGTTCCTGTCCCTGCACGCTGGATGAGCATATATAGCAGAGTCTACATGTATGAAGGCCATCTGTCATCTGCCATCAACGGCAAAACGTTGGATCGAGTCTTACCTCAACATGGAAGCCTTCATGCTCAAGTGTCATGACCAACATGCGTGCAATATGACGATTGATAGTTCGTTTCCCAGACTTGATGTCATCGTACAATCTCATAAGACGAGCGCGAACGCGGTCACGGAACGAGAGAATAGTGGTGAGGGTGGGCCAATCTTCATCCGCCTCTGGCACCTCGGAGTGCGACTATGTAGGACGCGTCAAAGTTAAGTCAAAGTTAGAACAATTGTGAGGGAGCTCGGCTTACGTGGCAATGATCTGGATCATCGACATGAGGATCGATCCCGCGCTACAACATCAAACGTGAGCTTCCAGATCAAGCCACAGCACAAAATACGACCAACCTCAAAGATAACAGTAAAATTCTTAGGCTCCGTATTCGGCTCTTGTAATGCTTTCGATAAAAGCATGTCCAAAAATCTACATGAATGACTCAATAAATGAACCGGTTATTGAACCGATATACGTACGTAGGAATGTGTCCGATGTAGAACAAACACTTGTGCCGCAAGTCGATAGGCTTTTGGTGCAACATGTGCTTGGGAATCATACCAAGGGTGACTAGATCCCAGGCCGCCCAAAGGTCCCGCCATTCAGAGGTCATGGGCACACCGAAAGGTGCGCTCGACTCGCCGGGAGGAAGAAGGGGAGGGAATGAGACACGTGGACGTTCCAAGCAATGTAGAGTGTAACTACCACAAGAGGTGGTAACGGAATAAATAGAGCGGAAGGACGAGAAAGAAAATAAGCGAAGCGCTTCTGCAGGGGTGTACTAATATCATCATGTTCAGTGTCACAGTAGTCAATTCACGTCGATGAGTGCTTACCTCTTGCGCTTTAAAATCATGTGCAGATGTTACCTCATCTAAAGCAACCTGGTCTTCACACATCGAGGAGTCCGTAAAGTATGAGAATGACTTCCCTGACGTTTCGTTTAATTTCAATACCAACATTTCATATGTTCAGAATTATCATACCCTCAAGTTCCCTCGAAACTTTGCTCCATCGTTGATCAAGGGTAAATGCTTGCTCATCTGAGCCACCAGCGACAACCTTGGCTAGTGTAGTAATAGCATGCGAAATCACAGCTTTCATATCGTCAAAGCTTTGGTGAAGACCGCTATTCTGTAAAGAAAGGACGACTTTATCGCCAGCACCCCTTTCCAGGGTGGATGCGAAGTCTTTCAGAAAGGCGGGATCGGCACATTGGGGCGGTAGAAAACAATGTGTAGGCGTTGAAAACTCGATAGATGATGGAGTGGTAGTGCCCGACCCAGAATCAGAGTCAGAGAAGCTGAGGTAGACGGCAGGAGGAGAAACGCTCATGTTCAGGTGAAATTTGCAGGTGAAACAGACGAGATGTAGGCATAGAGCAAAAACGCCGTGAATTTATAGCAAAATGCTGATACGTACAAAAGACTGATACGTGTAAGAAACAAAACAAAGGAACACAACACACAAGATCCGCGTCACGTCTGAACAGGTGCTAGGTCCAATGATTGAGGAACTGATAGCGCCTTGAGTAAAACCGGAATGCAATTCGGAATTGAGAATGCAAAAAACGGGCCTATCGCTTCCATGGAAGGCAACCATCGTATGTAATAAGGCGAGTAACACCAATAAGATACGCCGGCGCTGGAGTACACATGTGAGCCAAGGAAAACAAGGCAGAAGAATATTTTGGGGGTCGTAAATGTTCGGGTAGCGTCGACCGATTCAGAGCGCTGATAAGCGGAGCACCAACTTGAATTAAACACCCACCGAACATGCAACAAAGGTCGACATTAAGTTTCTACTTCAATATAATCGTCCTGTTTATCGACCGTGAATAAGTCAACGAACAGAGTATAGATAAATGATAAGTCACGAATAAGAGGGATGACCATCAGCGAGAGCGATATAATGGCGGGTGAGAAAAAGTAGGGTGGTGACCGATGATCCGATTTTGGCGACAGCAGCAATGGGAATCGAAGGGGAAGCGCGAGGTATACCAACGTATCCAAATATGCCTTGAATGTAACGAAGCCATGGAGCTACAGTGGACCATAGGGAAGCCTATACTAGATATGCGAATGCCGCTCGTGAACCTTTTTGCATCGTGGTTATAGACCGATGATGTTGGGGTATCAATGCCATAGACAAGGGGATGAAACCTTTGGAGGACAAATAGGCATAGTGGAGGCGCAAAAGATTGCTACTTCATTCAGTCCAAGTTCTTATATGTATTCAGCCGATTGCGTGCTCGAGATCACTATGGCGTGCTTGCTTTGTGTCACGTGCGGCCTCGCGCCTTCTTTCTTTCATCGCGACGGCGCCATCATTAAACAAAATAACTTGAAATGCCAATGAATGTTGAAGTGGCCCCCATTTGCTGGTATCGTTTGTCTGAATATCGTTATGGCTACCTAACGATTTTGCTGTGGATAAGGTGGCCATTTTCCATCTAACATGGCATCTGCTGCCACTTGCACCTGTGGGGAAGCGATATAAGAACTTCCAGTTTCGAGTTCACCATGTACGCACTTCATCCCATTAATCTCTGCCTAACATGTCCTGCAAAGACATTCTCTTCCCTTTGCCTATGCTTCCCAGCATCCCCGATAATCTCGACTCGTTAGAGTGAAGTTATTTACCTCATGTAGATAATGACTTTACTAATGCTTTACGTGGTAGCTCGAGAAAAGCATTGCCTTTCTTGATGGCTTTCATGAAGGTATGGTTTGACGACTCTCCAGCTCTTCTCTTTTCTTACGGAACTCCAGAACACGCTTATTCGTGGTCTCAACAATGTACACCAAGTGGCGCCTTTGCTTAACTCAAACAACCCGAGAACGATTTTCTTCCTGAAATATATAACATCTCTATGTAAATTACTTAGGACTCACTTAGAAGGTCAGGCTTCTGTTTGAATACCAACAAGTGATCGACCTCTCACTACTCTCACAGGCGACAGGCTTTTCTTCTCATTGGCTCTCCCAGGCGGTAAAGCACTGAGAGATATAGTGAGCATTGATTGTCATCCCGATCTCACATTTGTACACAAAGCACTGGACCAAGTTGAATCCAAGCTCGATGCTTGGACCAAGGTTCGACCAGTGTTTATATTCCTACGATGTCCAGCTTCTGAGTATCTTCTATAGAACCCAGCATCTTACTGCTCGCTTACCCTGCGTCAAGGCATTGAATTCGCACCTACCATGATAGTAAAGATGCAAGTTCAGGTAAGGCTCACGCTTCGACGTTCTAGAATTGTGACTTACGAATGGACGTAGCTCAACCTCCTATCTTTCGACTACATATCTAGCCTTATCTCCGATAAGGACCTTCGTCCGATGATCCAAGGTGAGCCGTTCCTCTTATACCGAATTTTGGTCATCTGACTTATCTCCAATCATTCACTTCAGCTAACATGGAGTGGTTCGCATCTCACTCTGATATCACCTTCCTTTTACCGTAAGCACACTTTCAACGGTTATCGCATCGGAGGCTCACCTACCATACCGTAGGTTTGTCATTTCTCATCACGATACCAGCACATCCCCACATTGGCCCACCATTACAGAGCAGGGAGCTGCCGCCTTACCTTCCTTGATAAAAGAACATGCAGGGTCAGTGCTACGAAGAAAGCAGACACTACGGTGCTAACTATCTCTTACAGATGCTGGGAGTTTGCACCAATCGATCCTTTGACAAAACAAACGAATCCTATGGTATTCTAGTTATACCAGATTACACCTGGTTTTTACTCTAATTCTCCCCATGTGATGTTGTTCATTCCTCAGCTCAGTCTACGATAATTCTGCCTGTAATAAGTCATTTCCAAGTGGTTATATCCAGACCCCTTCCAATCCTGACTGTATTTGAATGTCTGCGACCCGACGATATGTGGTGCCAGTCGCCTACCTTCAAGAATGCTACTTACCATCTCAGGGTTATAGGTATCACTCCAGCCCAACAGTGAAACTGGAAATGGGTATGAGGCTGACAATGCTATAGAGGATGGGACTGAGAATGATAGAATAAAGTCATATACGTTTGAATGCTTATAAAGAAAACTATATCTTGGTCTGGGGACGTAGAAAATGCGAGAAGGGTGACAAAGAGAAAAGGCAAGAGACTATGCTGCATATACATTAATCATGCAAAGAAATTTGACTAATTCGCTACAAAGGGAGTAAAAATCATAGACAACAGTTGAGCTTTTTAGAACATACGTGTTTAGAAATATTTTATATTACAATCTTCAAAATTACTGCGTGGTGCTTGAACAGAAAGAGATAAATACATTTACTCGGTGAGATGTCCTCCCGCCAAGAAAATATGTGTGATTAGCCCAAGTTCAGGCTGTACCTGGTTAGACTCCTTTTCGACCTCGGGACTTCTTAGGAGCAGTGGCATGGTTCCCTTTCTGAAAAGTTTTCCAATTCTCCTCTAGATGTCGTACCACACCCCAATGATTTTCATCGAGATCCTCTTCCCATGTCGTTTCTACCTGCCAACCTTTGACTTCAGCGATAGTGACAACCATGTCCCATGCCCGTTGCGCGCATTGATCTATTTGATGAAAGTCAGATTCAGCAAGAATCCGGCTAGGAGAACAAGCGGCCAATAAAGCTCGGTGGTTAGGGGATCGGCTGTTGATAGCAGTTGACAGTGATAAAAAGACGTTCACATGTCTGCCCTGAGAAGATTTTTGATCAGAAATTAGGGTATACTGTCGGTTGACGGTAACGGGCAACAGCTAACATAGAAGCGTACCTCAACGTCCTTCCACATCTGAGGACTAAAACCGCAGCTATGCAGATCAAGACTGACCCTGTTCCATTGCTCGCCATATTTCCTTTGCATCTGTTGTAGCAGATCGCAGGTGGCTTTCTGAGCTTTGACGCTGTGCATGCTGATGTGACGTCCCAATTTTACGGCTAGTTCCATTTGTGCCTCAAGTACAGCAAGCTGGTGCTCGAAGGGAATGACGAAAGGGGTCAATTCCCGAGGAGCAGCAAAGTAGTCGTATGGGACTCGAGAAATTCGATCAAGACCAACCTCACCGAGCATAGCATTAGGAAATTTTTGGAGGTTCCGACGTAAATCAGAAATGACATCTTCCAGTGGGATCGGGTCCGGCAACAAGGGAAGCAATCTGGAAAATTCCTCGGCATTTTGCTCTGAGTTAGCAAATATACCCCTGTAGTGTTCCTCCTTTGAATGAACAGGCTTCAACGCTATCCAATGAGTAAACCAAGGGTGATAGCCTGGCAAGGGTACTCAGATTAGACACACAAGTAATTGATCAAATGCTAGGTTCAAAATCACCAAAGCAGGGCATCACTTTGCTAGGATAGGCAGTTGCTAGGTCCCGAACAAGACGTTGATCTTCCATCCTCGTAGCCATGGCACAGATAGTTATTGGTAGCTTGTCCATTGTATTAGGAGATATCTCAGAATCGGTCGGATGACAGTGGACGTCGACAACATGGCGAAGCACTTCAGGTGCTACTAGAGATACTGAGGCTGAGCTTTCACGGGACATGAGGTCGGTGGACATAGTTCAGATATGTAAATGCTCGAGAAAGACGGAGCGGAAGTCAACGTAGATCCTTTGATCGCCCCGGTGTCAATGCCACTATAGTATAACCGTACAGCCGTGGAGAACACTTGCAATAGCTTTGATAAAGAGGGACAGACCGATGTCGTTCGGGTGATATACGATATTACCAATGTCGATGGTGCCAGTCAGAACTCGAACTACTTATTGGAGTAAGGCGGAACTGGGAGTGACCAAATTAGGATGATAGAGGCTGTTGCCTAACAGGAACAAACATACTTCTATGCTTGCTGTCTCTCGAATCGCATGGAACAGGAGGCTGTCTATCTTTTCTAATAGCATGGTTCGCCGCGTAGCCATAGACGCTTCTCCGCCTATAAACCGCTTCATGAAGGATGGCCTGGACAAGGATGCTTTTCGTAAGACCATTACTGTGCTCGCTGCACGAGTCCCTCCGTCGAAAACAGGATCTGTGTTGAAATCTCAGGCTATGAGGGGGTATGTGAGCTTTTTAAATAGAATACAGCTTGAAATATCACAAATTATTTTAGCTTTCTCATGGACTTGCCCAAAATTCGTAGCGTAGTGTACGATCCGTCTCATCCAGACGGAGACAGACTGGTGCTACTCAGAGTTTCAGAGGAAGGTACGAGGGGTCATTGTACCGAATATATCGCATTCATTAACGTCTTGTCTGCAAGCTAGCTGCACTTACCCCTGACGTTTCAAGTTTCTTGAAAGAGGTTTCCAACGGGCTCACGACTTACACTCTTACCTTGGATTATGACTATTGGACTGCAGGTAACACCGATTTACATCAGATAAATCATTAGCTCATCACTTTGTCTTAGATGAGATTCTGCAAGCAGTTCTTCCTGAGGAACTCTGTGACGAGTCGCCAACAGGCTTTGCTATCACCGGACATCTTGGTACGTAACTCCACTTCTCCAAATCAATCTTGCAATAATCGCAACCCCTGGCCAGCCCACCTCAATTTGAATAAGCAATACTTACCATACAAATACCTGATAGGACAAATAATACTGGATGTGAGGTACTAGCACCTTGAAGCTCAGAGTACTGCCTAACCTCAAGGATAGAAAAATAAGAACATCAGAACCGTGGTCAATAAATTGGATAAGATTGATAACCAATTCAGATTTTTCAAGATGGAGTTGCTGGCAGGCGATCCGGATTATGTGGTCGAACAGGTAGGCATAGATGCTATCACATCACATCTTAGATGTACTTACGGTTATACGGTTATCAGCATGAATCTAATTGCCGATTTACCTTCGACTTCACGGAAGTTTACTGGAATTCTCGTTTGCATACAGAGCATGAACGTCTCGTAGCGCTCTTCAAGCCAGAGGACGTGATTGCTGACGTATTTGCTGGCGTTGGACCCTTTGCTGTGCCGGCAGCTAAGAAAGGTTGCGCAGTGCTAGCAAATGACCTCAACCCCAATAGTGCCAAGTACCTCTCAAAAAATGCTTCCGATAATAAAGTCAGTGAAAACACTGTCCTTCATTTTTTGTTCATGCTCAATACCAAAGATAGGTAGCGCACCTCATGCGAATAAGCTGCGAGGACGGTCGAAGCTTCATTCCAGCTGTAGTTTCTCGCGCATTACAAGACCCATTTCCTGCTTATGCTGGCCCAAAGCTTTCAAGGTCCGAGGAGAAGGCGAACCGAAAATTGCAGCAACAGAATGCCCTATGTTCAACACACACCACGGCCAAGACTGTGGACTCAAATTTGGAATGCCCTACTCGCAGTTGCATAACGCATTTCGTTCTGAATCTGCCAGATTCTGCCATTGAGTTTCTTGACGCATTTCGGGGCATTTTCTCGTCGGCGCGTCACGACGGGATGGATTTGGACGTGATTTATACCAATATGCCAATGGTCCACTGCCACTGCTTTACGCGCGAATGCGAGCCAGATAAAGCACGCGAAGATATAAGACAGGTACGCATATCCATTTTCCCGCGAGAGACGTGTCTAATCTACCAATAGAGAGTCGAGCAGAGACTTGGGCACGCATTGACAGAGAGTTTCTCATTGCACATGGTGCGGTCTGTAGCCCCAAACAAAGACATGTACTGTATGAGCTTCAGATTACCTCATGAAGTAGCCTTTGCACGGTGAAATCGCATTCCGATTTCCTTGGTTGAGGCTGGTAAATGTCTGCACAAAACCTCCAGATCAAACTCTCCTTTTTTCCAGACCTAATCCGGGGTGGGAACTGAGTTTGAATGTCCGCGACGTTGCTATAATCCAGTGCCAGTCGCGGTATACTGACTGCCACCTCCTTCAAAGATACTACCACCTTAGGGTTATAAGGATTACTCCAGCTTTCTTTTCATCGGTAATGACCGACAGTGAAACTGAGCCCGAGTCCGACATTGCAATAGAGGATATGCTCTTATTTTCAAAAAGCGCATCACAACAGGAACCTGCTAGCGGCAACGAACCCCCAAATTCTATGGTTTCCGTACAGGACGTGAAACTGGCTGTGGAACTTTTGGAATCTTTGGATTTACGTAGTGTTCAAAAGGTGCCGTGATTCATCTTACACCCACGCGTTTAGCCCTTCGCAGCTGCCCTGCGCATCATCGACAGTCCCTTTATCTGCCACGGTCAATCCGTGTACCTGACAGCTTACTTTGATATTTACTATAAGGATGTATCTTTACACTCGGTCATCCAGGATGCTTCTTCTACAATATCCAATTTCCTCGTAAGTATTTGCCAGTCGCGTTTTGATGGTCACTTCGAGAAACGCGATACCATGGACGCTCTGGCGAAACTATGTTAGTGGCGGTTTTCTGCACTAGCAGTGCTTATATATTATCTATCATGTGCCAACAGTTCATCATTCGTTCCTCCGCCTCGCCTTTGGATATAGACGCGTGTTTCGTAACATTGCGGGACAAAACATTGCTCCGGGGACTGTGGTTCCTGTCATTATATGCTGGGTGGATGTTCTGATGGTTCGAATAGGTCAAGCTACTATATCTTTACCAAGCGTATGCAAAGGAGACTTTGCGAAATCTCCTCCTGGTCCATTATCTTGTCAGCGAGAGGAGGTTCTTTTTCGAGCTGCTGCGCAATTACCTGGTAAGTCCTGTGCATGCGAAATAAATCGCATCAATGCTAAGGCAGGCATCTCCTTAGAAAAATGGGACTTAGTGCCACGTATCATGTCGTCAGAACAGGCTTCTCCCGCTGCAAAGCGGCTCGCTCTATGCCTGACATTTGCTGCATATGTCGTCCACCCACAAATAGTTGATTCGCCAATTGATCACGATTCATGGGATCATGACAGGTGAGCATAACTGATGTTTTCATGTGAGCGATCTCTATGTAATCCTCAGTATTTAATGCCTATCTCAGCATCAAACCTGACGAGATGGTCGATATTGTGTCTGAATACCTTCAGCACGTTTTTGTCAACATTTTAGAAACCTCCCAAATTTACGACAGTCCGAAGGATATTCTCTTGCAACAAAGGATAACATGTGCAATGATTATCTCTATATATGCGGTTCGCCAAATCAACGTGTCTGTTTAAAATGTCGACAAGCTCATCATGGCTTATTTCTTGAAATAACTTACTAGACCGCTAATACGTCTAGTGAAGCGCTTAAAAACGACTCATTGTCTCCTTTCCAGCCATACGCGATTAGGTCACTTGCGTGTTTGTTGGAATTCGTGATGCATCCTGACCAGCCATCGTCGTCGTCTCATTCATTGTCTCCTTGTGAAACTATGGACATCGCTCAAACGATTTTGGTTCGGTGGGGTAACATATTTCCATGGTGCTGGCTAGCCTGGGCAGATCGGAGATCTGTAGGAGCGGACATTGTTATTTATTTGGTCAGTTTTCCTGACAATAAACAATCTGGTCAAGCTGACAATCTCACAGACTGTCACGTGGCTGTATCATCTAAGTTTTCAAAATGAGGGCGAGGAAGATCTCACACCCGAATCCAAGTTATGGGATATGGCATTCGGGCCCCTTTTGAGGAAGCATCCGGATGCTGCTAGTAATATCTTTTTTGTAAGCTGATGCAAAACACTACCTAATATTATAACTATTACTGACATATATTGTACAGACGCTAATTCAACTTTATTCCACCTTTATTGCTTCTTTGTCTTCGTCTTGCCTGAAGCAGCTTTCATTATGCGAAATGGACGTGTTTCTCAAAATTACATGGGTTATAACGCACCTAATCAATCATGCGGATAGCATCACTTCGTCTCTTTTTTGCCCGCATCTCTTATATGTTTTCCCCATCTTGTGCAACATGGATGGATATGAAGGTTTTTGGCGTCTTTTTGAACTATATCTTTGATTTGATATTTGGTATAGCCGTCGGTTATATTATTGAGGGCTTGGTTTCCATTGGTCCAGAGGTCGTACAACAATTTGCGACGAAAGTCCAAGAAGATAATTCACTAGGATTTATCAACAATTTGGAAGAAGGTACGAAAAGTCTCGTGTATTTCAATTATTCGCTCTGTGATCTATATTTCAACTTCAGCTGTCTCCAGGTCCAAGCGGTGAGCAATAACACTAACTTTTATGAAGTATACCTAATGTCCTCCAGAAAACTACAACGTTGTGCCGAAGACCAGGATCTCATACTCTGCAGACAAATCTTAAACTTTCTATGCTTACTTTGGCACTCCAATGTAGTCGACTTCTGCCAGACAAAGACTATTCTCAGCTTTCTTGCTGCAGTAGCGGTTAGACTATCTCATATCCCAGACTCCTGCTATCACGAGTCGTATGCATTCCCCGCCCTCCGTGATGGGTTTTTGAATGCTGTAGCAGCATGTTCGACTATCAAACTCGAGCTGGATCAAAGCAATACTTTGAAGGCGTGGAGTAGTGAAATGTTGTGGCAATTTGCGATAGTAAACGGTAGTACGGACCTTCCCACTGCAGGTGAGTTCAAAGGTATACCGTATTGAAAATATCTCAATTTATGTCCATGTCCAGCTAGTTTGGCGCATTTGATTATATCGTCAAAACGTCTCTGTGGTTCTTTCGCATGCGCAGAAGCATGGAGCTACATGCAAGACGTATTATTATTGACTATATCTCATCACTTTCTGGGCGATGACGAGCCACTTGCATTGGTTGTGTGTCCGTCAATTTGTCAAGCCATGTCTTACCTCCTGACTCGAGTCGATCGCAAAACTGGTCAGTTAATACTCACACCTAAGGCATTCACTGAAAATACCACCGAATTATTATAGCGCGATTCATCTCATCTTCTCCGTGGACCTCGAGCCTTCGCATTGCTTTACAAGAACTATTACAAGGAGATGAATCATACACTACTGAATATTCCAAAATATTGAAAGAAAGAATACTTATTATAGGGAAGAATTTGATAACCTTGGTAACATTAAAATGACTTTGGGGGCTAGATTTCGTTTAACATCTGGCACGTTTAGATCGATCGCAACTTTGACGACACTGATGCTGTATTGCCGGTACGCACAAGAGCTCATATGGCTTATTTTACGAGGATTCATAGACGTGTTACAGGCAACCTCCAAGGTAACAAGTCGCTTGATATTTTGTCGTTCTGCCGATGTTCCACGAGTTATCTTTTGTTTTTCGAGCTAACGAGCTAAATGATGTGCTACTCACCTTTGAGTTGAGTCGGAAACCCACATGTTACCAGTAGATTATCGTGCAACGTACAAAGTCATGATTACCTTACTTCTATATGGTGATATCGCGACTGAATGATTACGCCTGTTTTCAACATATAACGCTCATTTGATTTCTACGACGACTGATTCCTACCGTCAATTTCAAGACAAGTCATGACACACGACACTGTCCCATACCTCTGGATAGTAAATGAGCTATATCTAGTTTCCAGCGGACCCAACAAACACATCCATCACGCAGGTTCCTCCCAATGTTTCAACGTCAGTTCTGCCTCCGCAGATAATATATCAAATGCTTGTTTGATATGCTCCTCCGTCGTACGTGCAGCTCCGATGGCAAAGCGGATACAGAATGTTCCATTGAGAACAGTTTGTGTGAGGAGAATATCGTTGCGTGCTGAGATACGTCCATAGAATAACCTGTTCAAGTTATTTAAGAGCTCGGCGGAGAGAGGCTGTTTCGTTGTCTGTGGCTCTAATCGAAAGACGGTCAATGCGAGAGAAGGTGGCGCGACCAGAGTGAACTGTGGGGAAGAGCGAATCATTGACACAAACGTTTCGTTCAGCTGGACAGACTACGGAATATGTTAATACTGGCGTTTATGACGTCAGAACATACAAAGAACATACCTGGCGGATATATTTCTGGAAGCCTTCTACACCATAGCTGCGAAGAACAAACCACAACTTGAGAGACCGGAAACGTCTGCCCAAACCGAGATGCCAATTACGATAATCAATGACAGTCCCTGCTCCGTGTTAGTACAATGGATTTGATTTTCAAGATATAAACGCGTGTAGACTGACCCGCATCACCGTGCTTCGTTCGTAAAAACTCGGGCGTAACGTCTAGAGCGTCGGTTAGGTCCTTACGATCACGAACCCATAATGTCGAAGCATCAAAATTAGTGAGGCCCCACTGACCCAGAATACATCAATGCAAATTAGAGCTACAGGAACAGAGGGTGGCTTACCTTGTGGAAATTAGTGCAGAAAGAGTCGGCATAACGATTGATGGCCTCCAAGTGGCAGATTTCTCGGAACTCAGGACAGGCCATAGACACTCCCGCCCATGCGCCATCAACATGTAACCAAAGAGAAGCATAGTCCGATGCTTTAGAGATGTACTCAGACAACGTTCTCGGTATAAAAAAATAGTTCATTACCTACTCTCCCCAATTCTTCTATGTAGTCAAACGCACCAGATGACGTTGTGCCCACTGTGGCAACTAACGCCGCAAGTAAGTTTTGTCCATACATTGAACAGAGAAATATACACTTACTAAGGATGAATGGCTTCTTACCCGCTGCAATGTCTTCCTCTAAAGCTGCACGCAGAGTATCACCACGCAGTCCAAAGCTGTTCTCAGCGGTAACCTCTAAAGCTCGACATGCAAGTCCGAGCACCAGACCTGCCTTCAAACCAAGAGAATGCGTTTGAGTAGTAGTATACAACACAAGGTCTTCCATGCGAGCGTTAGGATTTTCGCGTATATAACGAGAACGTGCAGCGACAACTGCAGTCAATGCCGAATCAGAAGCAGAAGTCTTCGGAGATTTTAGTCAAAAGAATCATTTCGAGAGAACGCTTCTGGCACATACCTGCATCACACCTCCTCCCACTTCTGAGGTGTTTAAAAATGTGGAATGTAATCCGATAAGCTGAGCTGCCCAGTCCATTACTACAGCTTCTAACTCTGTGCATGCTGGGCTACAGGACCACTGGGTGACGATGTAATCTGATTAGCGTTTATGAATATGGACGACGAAAGCCTCTGACATTAAAACCAGGATTACAAGCACTGCTAGCATATAAATCACCAAGCATGCCTTCGAAGGTACATGCTGTTGGGAAATATGCGAAGAAGGAAGGATGCTGCCAGTGGGTGAGACCTACGACAAGATCGTTCCAGATTGGTCAAGCGATTGCGATACCTCATAGTACAAAGGACAAACCTGGAATGATAAGCTTCTGGTAGTCATCTGCTATTTCCTGAAAGTCTTCGCCAGATGTGGGTGCTAGAGCTGTTATTTACAAGATGAGGATGCACTTGCGCGGGAAGTTTACGGTGGTTATCTACCTGGTAGCGCTTTCCTCAGATAGCCTGGTTCCACCTGCGAGGTGACGGCTCGACCTTGGAGAGAGTAGTAGTAATCACAGATTCTATCGATTGCCTGATAACCAGCTTTGCGAAACCTATGCGCCGATCGTGAGTGAGAAGCATTAGGCATAAACTGAATACCAGACTCACTGTTCAATATCCATTACTTCGATTTCTCAGTTGTATTCTTGCGATAAGAGGTTGAAAAGCGACAACAATCGCGGTGCCCGACCTTTAAAGACCTGAGAATCTAGTAATACCGAGAGCTAAGCCAAGTGTGTGGTGCATTCCGAGGTCACATGGATCTGATTCTTGCTTTGATAGCTCGGCCGGTGTTCTCAGGGCATACCATTTGGGCCTGGATACTGACTATCCAGTAATGTCATTCCAGTATTTTGCTCTACAAAACTAGATAGGCATTGAAGAGTAGCAGAGATAGCGGTGAAAGCCTCGAGGCCTATTACAACCACTAGGGCGAGTTCCGTGATTGCTGTCGGGAATTGAACTCAAGGATTTTAGTCTTTTCTGGCTTTGGAGTTGCATTTGCTTTGGACCATCATCATGTCAGTTGTATTACCAGGATGTCTGTCTGCACCACTCGCGCTTGGTATGTTTTGTCGTAATTTGTTCGTGTAAAACACGCTGATAATTGTCCTGTAGTTAATGAATGCCCTTGGTTGTCCACGTTCCTGTTGTTGGTTGGCGCCTTGACGTTCACGCGTTTTGCAATCAAGACCGTTTTGGTATTCGCTCAGACATTCATTCTTCCTGGAAAAAACGTACAGTCCGCGTTTCTCTCTCTCATCACCTTCTGTTAATAATCCTTATCTCCAGCTTAAGCAATTCGCTGCTAAGAAGGGTTCTTGGGCAGGTAAATTCTGCTTTGTTACCTTCGAGCTGGTCACATGCTCATTGATGGAATAGTCATCACTGGAGCATCTGATGGTATTGGCCGGGAGTTTGCATTGCAGCTCGCTCGAAAGGGCTTCAACATTCTTCTGGTCGCGCGGAATAATGTCATGCTTACTGCTGTCGCAGAGGAGATTGGTATGTTACAGTCACTGTGAATTCTGCGTCGTTGTTCTTATAAATGCTCCCTAAGCTAGCAAATGTAGTCCTTCGGTGGAGACTAAGATTCAGTTAATTGACTTCTCCAAAAAGGATGAAGCTGCATATGAGGGTCTGAAATCTACTATGGCAGAGTTGGATATTGGCATTTTGAGTAAGTGACACGCATAGTGTTGAAAACTTATCGAGTTTAAATTCACAATATTTTGTGTGTACGTTCGTTTAGTCAACTGTGTGGGCAAATCACATACCATGCCGACTTACTTTGTCGAAATACCCACCCAAGACATAGAGGATATCGTGGCGATTAACATCAACGCAACTATGCGCGTCACGTCCCTAGTCCTTCCTGGTATGATACAACGGTACGTTATGTCACCAGGCTTTTCTTTAGCATGGCTCATTCGAACTGAGTAGAAAACGTGGTTTGATCCTGAACTTGGGGTCATTTGCTGGCTCTATCCCGTCACCTATGCTTGCGCCCTACTCTGCCACCAAATCCTTCGTATCCACATTTAGCAGCGCTCTTCAAGAGGAAGTCAAGTCTCATAATATTATTGTTCACCATCTCAACACATACTTTGTTGTGAGTTACGCCCCTTTGCTTTCTATATAACAGCCTGACGTCCGAATGCTATAGGTGTCCAAAATGTCCAATATCCGCAGAGCATCCTTATTTGTTCCGCTTCCCGCTGACTACGTTCGAGCTGCATTGTCCAAGATTTCTCTTTCTTGCGGAGCAGCCCATACGAACCGACCTGGGACATTGACGCCTTACTGGAGCCATGCGGTTCTTGATTATCTGATTCATGTCGTTGGAATCAAGAGCCTCTTCATCGGCTATACACATGGGCTACATAAATCCATCCGGAAACGCGCACTACGTAAACTGGAGAGAGAATCCAAGAAGCAGTAGCGAGAATTGGCAATTTAATCGCTCGGAAATGCATTCTCAGGCTCGGTGATGGCGTGGATTTGTACATGAAAAGAATGCCTTAATAGCTGTCTTGTTCTCGGCGTGTGTGCAGACATTTATAGTGTTCACATTGTTGCATTGCTTGTTTCATGAGCTGGTATTGTGCTTGTATAGGCGTGTAAAGGGGCCTTTCCCTGAATAGCGGGCGTGGGAAGATGTGTAAAATCTGAGATTGGACTGTGCAACGAGGATGCGGCATTGCAACTCCAGCCCACCAGCCTTGCCACAACCCGTCCAAAGGCAGGCAGACGAGCGAGTGTTAGGTCCTTTTTGCTCATCGACCACGACGACCTCCACGGTGTAAACTGTCCACCAACGATGAAGCGCGTCCAATCCACCCGTTCGTCGTCGCCAACACCAACAACGTTCTCTGGCATTTCCAATTATCGCACGGAATCCTATCGCCCCATCAGAGATAAAAGCAGCAATGCACCTGCTATGCCGTCGCTTGACCCACGCTTCGTTGCGAGGACTCACTTTGACGAGCTATCTCGTTATTTGGCATCATATCTTGCAAGGGGTATGTCTAATCGGCTCGTGCGATCGTTTGTCTCTCATTCCTTTGTGCTTTCTTTGTTTCTCTAGCCGCCCCAAATTCCCGATCCACTGCCAGGCAGAAACTCACACGTTTGACCAGACAGCAGTTCCAAGAACTTTCCACCGATGTATATGATGAGCTTGTACGCCGTAAGAAGAATACAACCGATAATGAAGGTATGTAGGAATGAAGCTCGTCTATCACCAAATACAAATACCTAAACTCGTATCTCGTCGTAGTTCCATTTCTACCCGTCCGTGACGACTTTCACCCCAAGAGAAATCAAGCGCGACAGAAGCTCGCAACACTCCCAACCTCGAGGTTTGAGGACCTATCTAGTGACGTGTATTTCGAGTTAGCACGGAGATACCCGGAATTCAAGGACGAGGTAATTCGCTGTCCCTCTAAGACAATCGAACTGACTGGCAAACTTTGCTAGGTTTCTGATGGCGGCCTGGCGTCTCCAGCTTCAGCATACGACGATGTTCCATCCCCAGATTTTCATGCTACCTCTCGTCCCAACATCCCCACACCACCTTCAAACATTCGCTCAGGACGGGTTTCTGAGGACCGAGGGATGGACAGTGGTTATGGCGGGAGCTCTTTGGGGCGAAGGCCAAGCGATGATGGCTTTGGAAGGCGAAAGGCAAGCGACGATGAGTTCCCTCCACCTCGCCGCAGTGAAGATGCATACAATGCTATGGGCCGATCCAGTGAAGACACAGCCTTCTCAAGAAGGAAAGCTTCTCAGGATATACCTCGAAAATCTGATGAGCGTGATCGTGATTTCGGTCGTAGACCTAGTGCCTCTGCAAGTATACACAGTGATTCTACTGGCACAACGAACGCCCAGAGTTCCACGGCAACCACTGGAATGATCATACCCAACAAGAGTACGATTGCTGAAGAAGATATCGAAGTTCCATACGGGAGAGAGATCAGAGACAGCGCTGGGACGGCTGTTGATGAGCGGGACAAGAGTCAAGAAAGGAGCAGAGAATTGGATATGGATGGCGTAACTGATGGCGAACGCGAGAATGGGGAGTACGCGAATTCAAGGAGCCCCTTGGGCGGCCTTAATGGATTGAGTGCGCGCCTGAGAGGCGTTGACGTTGATGAAGATGATAATGGAGGAGCACGAAGCGGCGAAGATTATTTCGACAAGGTCTCTCTGGGAAGGACCTCTATTACATCAGACCGATCGGCTGGTGCTTCGGGTATGGGATCGAGACTGTTTTCAGGACGTATGAGCGTTGGGGGCGAGGAGCACGAGAGACTACGACGCGACTACGAATACAAGATCGCCACCATGCAAAGCCGAATTACATCGCTAGAACGAGACTTAGGGAATTCTGAAGGACGAGAACAACAGTTACTAGACAGCCAGGAGCGCGTCAAGCAACTGGAAGAAGACCTTGATGGTTTCCGCAGGGTACGTTAATGCTGAGGTTTGAATTATTGTGCTTGCTCTTGATATACCTTGACTTTCTGTTTCAGAGGGCTGAAGAACAAAGTACTGCGATGCGGTCCTTACAGAAGGAACTGGATGATCTACGCGAACTTCGGGCTCGCGAGAAAGAGCGAGAAGTAAGGCGAACTCAAGACGATGAAGAGGAGCTACAAATACTGCGGGACCGATGTGAGCGTCTGGAAGAGGAACGAGGTAATTATAAAGCAAGGGTGCGTGCTACTTGTCTAGTTCGTTGCTTTCAAACTGAACTTTCTCATAGGATGACACCGAGATTGTGGATCAGCTCCGTACTGATATGGAAGGCCTATTGACTGAACTGTCAGACTTATCCCGTCGGAATGACGAGCTGATGACTGCTAAAGACTCAGATCTTATCATCATTCGCGACCTTGATAGCCAGCTCAAGGATTACAAGCGAAAATACGAACAGGCCAAGACTGAGCTAAGAAGTGTAAAAGGTAATGTCCACATCACTGACTCGGATTTTCACGGTTTCTGATCATTGTATGCCTTGCTTATTCATAGCGACGTCGCAACTCTTCTTGCAAGCTCCGAAGTCCGACGATCAGCTTCCTATGTCTTCCGATGGTGGTCTTCTCGATATCCATGTTACCGCTTTTGTTTCTGCTACTGACGGTCTCCTTACTGCTGCTCGATCGAATGCACCCACGCGGGTCCTAACTCCCATGAAAGCTGTGGTGACTTCAGTAACTGCCATCATCGAAGATGTTCGTTCGTATGAGCAACGGCCCCAGCGATCTGACATCGACATCGAGAACCTGCGATCGCTCCGTGAGCGCGCAGAAGCCACTCTCAGTAACCTCGCTACTGCCTCCAAGACACATGCTACTAGTTCAGGCATGTCCCCTGTCAGTCTACTGGACGCCGCTGCTAGCCATGTATCGGCGACTGTGACGGAAATTGGTAGATTGATATCTATACGGAAAGCTACAAAGAGTGAACAGGAGGAGTTCTTGTCTTCCCCTCATATGTCCAGTTCCACATCATTTTCCCCGTCTCTGCGGTCTATAGATGAAATTAGATTGTTGCACGAACGGAAGTTGAGCAGCTCAAGCTCAAAGCGTTCTGACGGCTATTCTTCGCCCCTTGCCAATTCTTCACGTTTTGCGGAGCCGCAGAACCGCAGGGCTCCTTCCGAGCATTCAAGTTCACAAACCACTTCTCCGCCTCCGATCTTTGATAGATCACCGGTAGTCGGTGCTGGCGGTGTTATCAGCGATGATTCAGCTGTGCCAGAGGATGCTTGGGCTGAGCTCAGGGTAAGTAAGCTTCGTTTTACTTCTTATTCCCTCTTTCACTCACTTGTGCATTTCAGCCTTATCTTGAGGAGCAGACGGAATCGATCGTGTACGCTATCCAGAGTGTACTGTCAGGAGTCCGCAGCCCCGTTCCCTCACCCACGCTTAACGAAAATCTCACTCAAATCATAACCATTGTGTCCAGTATTGTTGCCGTTTGCAACGACAACCTTCCTCCTGCCTCCGCACAGCAGGGTAATGAGATCCTACAGGAACTCAGCGATCATGCTAACAAGCTCAGCGAGGTTCAGGCATTGCCTGAAGTAACGAAAGAGTCACGACAGATCATGGCAAAGTCGAGCTTTGCGGTGGCTAACGCGATGAAGGGATTGATGAAGTTATGATGATGTCTGTTATGCTATGTACTACCCTTTGTCTGTATTCTAATTGGATAATTCGTACTTCGGAACTTACAGACCGTCCTTTGCGATGTTGTTTGCTACATGTATGGTATATATAAGTGCAAAAGATTCCTATGGCATCACATTAAACATCCACCAAAGATGGCTTGCATTTCTTCTGCCAGCTTCGCATGGTCAACCTCTGACATGCTAGTTTGATCTCCTGGAACATGGAGAGGGTCCAGAGTACCACCGCCGTTATTGTCGACCAGAGGCTTGACTGATTCCCAGAACTCATTGAAGTCCATATCAACCAACCCATTTTGGATGACGGTAGAGTCCATAGGAATTTGCGTGCCATCTTCCCGTGGACCACCCATACCACCAGAGAAAATAGCGTCGAGATCATGAAAGTATTTGTCGAAATCTTCAGAGAATGAACCGTCAGATGGGGGAAGTAAATCGATGTCGCTATGAAGAGCGTGCTCGATTTCGTCACCGATAGCTCCATCTGAATCTGACATGAGTGCATCAGACTCGGGAACATCTTCCATGCTTTCGTCTCCAGATGGCAGAAGAGACGGACTTGTGGGTGGGAGAGGAGATGAAGGTGGTAGCGGGCTGGAGCGATACCGCATAGTATCGTCGTCATCAAACTCGCCCTCCGACTGTGTCGATGTGTCAGTGTCTGGGGTATGCTCGTTACCGTTGCTGTTGAGCGCATCATTGGAGGCCGGGGTTGGTACATCGAGATCTTGGAGAGCCTTGTCTAACTCTCTTGTAAGTACGTCTTCTTCAGGGTCTAGGTCACGCTCTTGATACCACTTTTCGATATTTCGATTCGTGGTAAGGACTTGTATTGGTGATATTTTTGAAGTGGATGCTATCCGATTGCGAGGCGTAAATAGAGGGGTGTTGAATATGCTGTCAAGCTTTTTGCCCAGAGATTTGGGCGTTGGACTGAAAAGTGGGGATGGGCCATCTATGTCTGTCTTGAAAGAAGGTGAACTGAGAGAGCGGGTTCTCCGAGGAGGAGTGCTTGGAGGTACAAGAGTTGACGTGATCGGACTCGAGGGAGTCATAACAGAAACATCGGATGCAAAAACAGGGAGAGAAGACGTGCTCGCCGTTCGATGGAGCGTTTCTTGCGACGCAAAACCGTCAGCTTGACTCGATGATGGAATATCAGTGGGATAGTGCTCCCTTTCCGTGTCACTATTTTGCACAACTGTCCGTGATCCACCTGTAGATCTCCGTGGTCGCTTCTTACGAGCTTTCCTGGCTTCTTCCAAGAGAGAAAGTCGCTCTTCTGCCTCCTTTGACAAGCGAGGCTGCGTTGCTGTACTCGTACGTGCCCACTCAGGAACAACGTAGCGCTTTTGCGACTTGGTAGGAACGGCAGAAGAGGTTTCAGAATCAGAGGTCATACGCGACGTTGATGTTTCAGAAGAAGTTCGAATAAGCTGCCGTGGAGGTGAGGAGCGCGGATGAAACATAGCCGCATGGTAAGAGCTGTATGAAGAGATATACGAATGCCCATAATCGAAATCTGAGTGTACGTGCCGCTTGTGTAGAGCTGAACCCGACGACGGTGCTGTGATGAAGCCATTGGCATTCCGGCGGTTATTCGAATTTTGGGCGCGTTTTTTCGCTGCTTCACGCTCTTGTTCTTCCATAAAGTCACTTAGTGTACGCTTTCTCCCAGAAAATACTGCGGGGGCTTTATTTTCCCTCCCACCAGAACTCAGCCGTGGCTTATGTGAGTGCGGGGCTGGAGGTTCCTCTTCTGCAGGAAGCTTGACTGCATCCTCTTTGTCTGCACGACGCTTAAATGCGCTGGGGTCTACATTCTCCTTGTTAATTTCGACGATTTCGTCGTCTTGTGAATGACGAGACACGGGCGGTGACGAATGGGAAGGATGTGGTTGCAAATGAGGTGTAGAGGAGGATAAAAGCCGTCTGAGAGCATTCACTAGGTCTGGATTTGGATGACCATCGGCATTAGAGCCCGAAGGTGCTGAATCGATAGCTGACAATGCAGAAAGAAGTGCAGCATTCTGACTTTGATTAGCAGTTGACATCGCAGCAAGAAGGCTTTGCATAACATCGGGCGAAGTATTGGTGACATGTTGTATAGTCTGGGAGGGTTGGGATACCAAAGGATCAGAGCGAATAAGAGGGGCACGGATAAGGGGTGGGACATTAGGACGAGCGGATTTCTTCGACCTTGACTGAGTCTTTGCAGCTTTCTTTGGACACTCTGGTCTTCCTCTAGGACGCTTAGGTGGGCCGATGTATACTTCTGGGAAATCGGATGACTTCGCTAATTGTCGTGGTGGCTCCCGAGATGAAGATTTGTTCTCTACAGAGTGGGTGCGCTGCTGAGACATGGATTTCAGCGACCGCTGAGGAGGTTTCGATATAGCTGCTGGAGATTCTGTTGGAGGCAGTGAGCTAGAGGGTGGCACTTGAGACTTCTTAATAGATTGAGGTGGTTGGCTCCAGGACTTGAGAGTGTCAGATAGCGTTGATTTCTGTATGTGAGTGGTCTGGACTATGTTAGATTGAGAGTGTCTAGAACTATGAACTTAACTACCTCTCGTAAAGCGAAGATAACCTCGAGTGCTTCGGTCCCTGACCCGAGTATTATGATGGTGCCCGTCACCAAGACGGTATCGCATTCATCAGCCAGGAGGGCCCAAGACATAAGTCCAAGGGCGACGGCAACACCCTGAGGTCTTAGATCTTGGGATGGGTTGCCCGAGTTGTTTGAGATATTTACTGGTGCAGGCGTCGACTGGGATTCGAGAGGATCAAGAACGTATAGAGAGAAATCCCTGGACGAGTCTTGTACTAATTCGGGACTAATGTGGTGTAAGGAACGTCAAGCCGGAATAAGTAGAAAACAAAATACCTCGAGTTGCATATAGCAGCCAAACAGGCCTTCAGTGGAGCAGACCCGTATTGGATATGACCAGCAACGATGCAAGGAGTGATAGAAATAGGAGAGGGGGATTTCGCGAGGATATATTGCGGCGAGCTATTAACTGTGTATAATACTCGTACTAACTGAAGTGTCAGTGATGAAAGCTGAGGACGTTGATCAGCGTACTTACGGGCAAGGTGTCGAGGGCTGGTCATCGAGCGTTGCGACGGGCTCTCCATCGTACTCTATGGTGTCGCTGTTGCGCAGGACGACGAGCTTGAGGACAATTGCGCCGACAACGTTGAGGTTGATGACAAGTTATAACGTAGTACCGGATCGAGTCGTGCCAGACACATTCAACAAATCGGGAGACGCGACGCGTCACATTGTGACTATACGCGATAATGTCACACATCGCGCGCGTGACGCGACTCTGCAACTTCAAGCTGAACCAGCACTTTCTCGAGGACTCATTCATTTTTAAAAAAAAACTGATGTATGTTCTCTTTGAACACAATTAGGGCTTGGAACGCAGCCTGGGCCAACATTATTCCAATATGATAATTCTCCCGCAGACTACCAGCACTCAGGCTGGCAGGCACGGTACCACACCACCTCGGACTTCAATCCACTCTCGTGACAGTTCCCACCCGATTTGAAAGTACTTATCGTTTGGATGGAAACCAGTTCAACGAAAGTTTGGTTCCCACTCCCGCCCCTTGTCCTGTCTATGTTTCAGGATCAGATACAGGTAGTTCACATGGTCTCAATTTGACCAAAACTACTCCCAAAGTTCTTTCTAAACTCTCATCCTTCCTTCGTGCCTCCTCTCCGCCTAGCTAATAATGCATGGAAACGGAACTTTGATACACCGTCATTGACTGTACATATGGTACATACATACCCCCCATAAGTGAGTTATTTCTGATTCCTATATATGTGATTATATACCGTGACGAGCAAGTTGATAAGCCATTCACTGACAGGATGAGTTCATTCACAGACCACGAATACGAAGGCGATCATCTACTCGCCAAATCACAAAACCGCATAGAGCCAACTCTACAAGTGTTTATATTTTCCTCAAAAATGTGCAAAAGCTTCGTCAGTCAAGTGTTTGTTGCGATGTATATGAGACCCCCAACTGAATAGATTCATTGAGAACGACCACTCGAAGCACGCGATCAACCAGTGAGCATCTCGAGTAGTTTTTCGGGGCGAGCCTCTACCCATCGCCGTTCTGTAACTTTCATTATATCTGGAAACCATCCTTCTATTTCCGCTGCTCTATCCATTACCATGTGAGCCAGTGCTTTTCCACTCAGCCAGGCATGCACCATTCCTTCACCAGTGTACCCAGCTGCAATCCACTCCCCAGGAGCCGCACTCAATTTCAAGGATTTGTCTTCATCTTGCGATATAGGACCCCGTGGTGTGGAAGAAACAGGAGGTTCTACTCTTCCCGATATCTTTTGTGGTAAACGACCAACCCAAGGTCGCAGGTCCGCAGAGATCCCGAGTACCCCACTCCACAGTGCTTTCACCCTCCCTTTGCCCCATGCTACCCCATTATTATCTTCTGCAGGCGGTTTTTCGGCGCCCCAATGTTCGTCACCAAAATACCGAGGGAGCACCCCAGAAATGTACGAGGTGATGTATTTGCTATATTCGCTGTCGTCTGTATTTCCAACCTCGATGAAATTGTCCTCTGCGGCTCGCGCAAAGCCACCGCCGAGCATCAGTTCATTCTCTCCCGTGGGTAACTGCGTGAGATAGTCATATCCGACCGTTCCGGTGTAGAAGACGAAGGAGCGTTGGCCGGATAATGTTGATGGGTCAAGAGACTGGCCAGGGCGCTGAGCGGACATGTTTCCTCTAACGGGAATGATCTTGGCCCTCATCGGCTCCAGCAGATACGAGCTCCAGCCATTGGTAGCGTGTATAACGTGGGGCGTGGTGATGGTCCCTCTTGGAGTGTTGACAGTATAGAACGGAGTGGTTGCTGTGGGGCTCACAATAGAAGTACATGGCGTATGTGTACATAGTGAGAAACTGTTGACAGTCAGATGTACAAGAACGTGCACAGATCAGCTACCCTCACCTATTTGAGTAACGTACAATCATCTTTGATAAGATGCCTGTGACAAAACGGTAAGGATGTATAGCGCCTGCGTATGTAGATATGCATCCAACAGTATCAGACGCTAGCTTAAACGTCTATTCCTCTTGTATCATCATCATGGCTCTTTCTCGTGGACCTAGTTGTGATCACGTACCTTTTTAGCGTCTTCAGACTCCAACGCTCTATAATGCTCAGATTCCACTGGCATAGCTTCTCGAAATACTTGTAACTTGGATTTAGCTTCGTCAAACATATTTTGGTCGTAAAATACATCGACAGTCTCCACTCCCCGCCACTGTGATTCCTTCAAAATATCTTCCTCTTCAGCAACGTGCCCCAGTTCTTCGACATGAGCAAGTCGAAATTTAATCATTTTTTTCGCATTATCCTCTCCATGTTCTTCTTTGAGAGTGATGTAATCATGGTATAAAGGTGGCGAGATATGACCTCCATTTCTAACATTCGCGGTCTGGGAAGCTTTGGCTTGCCTGCAACTGAGGATTATACTCACCTTCCAGTAGCTCCAGAGCAAACGTCTCTTGCTTCTAGCATAACTACCTTGACAGACTCCAAGTTCTCCTCGCTGTGGTATTGGTCCAGTAAAGCTCGACACAATGAGGTTCCAGTTATTCCGGATCCAATGACTACGAAATCGGCATGATTAGGGAGTTTAGAAGGTGCACATTGGACCAGAGGTGATGGTGGAATTGTCCAAAATGATAAGGTCGGATTTGGGACAGGGAGGCCCGGGGATGTTTGCAGACGTTTTTTGAGCAGCTGGTACTTCCTTAGGTTTTCTAGGAAATCTGACCAGGCAAGCTTGGCTAGCGATAATACTGTACCCATATCGATCTAGATGATGTTGCAAACGAAACTCATATAAAAGGTTCGGCGAGGTGCAAACTGTAGAATTTTTGAGTAGACCAAGATAAGGATTAGATAAGGGGATGCATTCAAGCTGCTCGCGCCGCGAAAAGAAAAAGTGCACCGGAAATACCCGTAAGTCCTGCACTCTAACGGCGAAATGTCCCTTTCTTTCAGACAATACAATCATCTGCAACCTACACGGTAGCACCTATATACGCATCCTCAGCAGTCACTCGTCGTCTTCCGGTCTTATACACCTGGTATGGTTTTATTTATTGTAGTCAATCATAATTCAACCTTTGGAATCTGCAGTGCAGGTCATTTTGGCTATTTTGCGCTCCAGCCAATCCACCGACGGTCAACAGTCTCAGCCATTTGCAAATAAACTACTACGGTGTGTTATATCAGCCTTTGATGACTGACTGGCATTCTAATCATCTGAACTTGAATGGTATTGGCAGAGTACAGATAGACAAAATGCATGTGGAGTCAAATGAGCTTTACGATCTACAAATATCGCGCCGCCGTCCCATTGTCAGATCGTACATTGCCATCCTCCCCACCGAGTTACTCGTCCCGATCTTTGCATACGCTAGTTACGCGTCAAACGACATAGAGTTCAAGCTGGCCCTCGTGTGCCGACGTTGGAGGCATATCGTCTTGCATACCCCCTCGATATGGACCAAACTACGTATATCCGAATCGACTTCCATCGATAAAGCAAGGATATATATCCAACGTTCCGAGAATATGCCTTTGTACCTTGATGTGGATATCACTTCCAGAAATTGCTACACCTACGCTGATGGGAGACATGGACTGGTGCAGTATAGCAAGCGCCAAGAAATTGTTGAGCTATTGCTCTCTTGTACGGATCGATGGAAACATCTCAGCCTTACAGTTTGGGATGACTGTGCTGATTATACGAACCCAAGCGCAGGCGGTGTCGCATCTGTTATTCTAACAAATTTTGTTGACATCTACGTGCCCCTACTGGAAAATTTCAAGCTTAGTGCATATAGCCGTAGTAGTCTTTCATCAGTATTCTTCCAGCCACCCATCCGCTTCTTCCAACGCGGCGCTCCTATGCTCACTCATTTTGGGCTGTGTGAAGTTGGCCCTGACATCTGTAGTGTCCCTTCTGCCACTTCTACGCTCACATTTCTATCCGTCGAAACATCTCAGCTAAAGCAACAACTCTGCGGATGTGACCTATGGGATTACTTGCGTGGACTACCTGCTCTCACTCACCTTAACCTCAAAGACGATTTCTACAACAACGACATACCATTAGGGAACATCCTTCAGCTTCCACACCTCGTCTCCTTACGCTTAGAACCTGGTGCTGCTTGCCCTGTCAATAAAATTGGCGAGGTATTGGCCTCCATCTCTGCGCCACACCTCGAGCATATCTCTCTGACACCTCTACCTGACTTCTTGGACCCATATACACTCTGTACCGATGAAGAAGCGGAGCTCCTGCCCAACTTTTTGGCGAGATTTGTTAGCGACCCCCCTTTCCCATCATTGCAGTCACTTATTCTACACTTTCCCGCAATACCTCTCAAAGTGACAAACTTTTTCCACGCATTCCCCACAATCTCCTATGTTAGTCTCGCAGACATGAACAGCAAAGAGATGATCAAAGAGATGCTGAAAGGCCATATATGCAAAGATTCGTCTTCTAACCCGCCTTTATTGTGGCCGAACCTCCAAACACTGGTTTTGGAAAATTGGAACGTTAGTGATGAAATCGAGCTGCTGCTCAAGCTATTGTATGTTCGAGAGCGGGCAGGATCACCTATCAAACAACTGAAGCTACGCAATTCAGAAGCAAACACGTTCAAAGCAATTTCACCATGGCTGCGAAGTAAACTGGATGAGCTGGTTTCAGTCGAGTTGGAAACAGATCTTCCTCCGTGGTTGATCTGATTTCTGCTTTCCAAGAAATCATGGTCATCGCAGTCACGGGCTTAGATTCTTAGGCATCCTAATTCTATTTGTTGGCTTAACCATGTAAACGTTCCCCACAGCACAGCAGTCACGGATTCTCTTACTTTATCCCCAGTAGATTTTACAATTGAACAAAGCGCGTATACCGCTTGATTGCAGATTTTGACTTGAAATCTTGTGATGAAAATCAAGACATAAAGTCCTTCTAAGTATCTCCTTCGGTGTACATCATGTCTTGCAAGGTTCACTAGCGTTCATTAACGTTCATTCTCTTGCGGCCTTCTCTTGAGTTACATACCATATAACATAAGAGCTTGACGCTCTCTGAATCGGTTGAAGTGCGGAGTGGCGTGACCATTTTGGGCTTTACTTCATCGACATCCACCTGACAGGATTTCCGCCAAAGCGATGCTGAGAAGGTCTGATTATAGGAGACGAAAGGTTGGGAGATTGCTGGGAGAACATGTTTTCCGCTGTCACCGAATTCGGAAAAAGAAGATACATTGAACTCAATTCATAATGGACTGAGCTCTGTCTGAATCGTTCGACATACCACCGCCTGTCCATGGCGCCCTTCCGTCCATGTTCTCGAGCTGGCTGTTGATTATGATTTGGTATCCACCGAGCAATATAGTATGTGCATCGTGTCCTATTCTGCATATCTCCAGCTTTGGGTTCTGATTTCAGCCTCACGTATCACAGTTTGGTCTTTATCTCAATGAAAATCATGTGGGGTGGGGCGCCAGTACGTTCGTGCCTCCGCTACACTCGGCTCATCTTCCTCCGGTCAACCGCCAGTATCAGTTTCATCTTTCAATATTCAAGAGTCGCGGTGAACTTGAGTTCGTGCCTTCTGAATCTATGTCTTTGACATAACAACTTGAATGGTGGGCAATGTACCCCTGCTTGACTTACTTTAGAAACTGTGCCTCCGCCATACCAGGGGCGTTTCCTTCATTTCCTGACGTTTCAGACGCCATCGCTTTAACCTTATATTTATATCAGGTTTAATCCCACCATGTCTCCCTTTATGTTGCTCATATTTCTACCTTTCAACCAGCAATTGTGGCTGCGAGGTCATGTTTTCGATGTTTCGGCATTACAATTGTGCTTGGACGTGCCTCCGCTGTGCTCGGCGTCAGCTACAGGAATGGAGCCCCCTATCCAAAGAACTGGTACCAAAACCGACTGTTGTTGGAACTTGTGCCTCCAAGAGGCTCCTGAACTAGACCGTTTTACGCCGTACGATGATTCCTGAGGGTCGGGTCTCCTCTGATGCGACTGTGCATGTTTCCATTTCTCCGTTATATTCGCAAATCTGTGTCGCTTGCCCTTCTTGTTGGTGTGGTTGTCCTGGTGCCTTTGGTAAGGTTGTTGGTATAAATTGCACTCTGTCAAAGCCCGTACGTCTTCGAAGCTTAGTTTTTCTGTGCTTTTCGACCGTACGCTTTCAGCTATGGATACAGAACTCACCTTACTAGTCAAGACTGAACTTCAATATGATGTGAGTGAGGTTCCACTCATGTATACCTGGGTACTAATGGCAACGTCGGTTAGTACGGCGTCCCAGCCAGTGTTCTGGGAGGTGGTACCAACAACGGGATAGCTTTAACTCTCGATACGGATTCCAATTTGATCATCTACATGATCAAAAACTCTGGAGTTGTAGCTGTATACCAGTCTGGAGATTCATACACTGTCGAAGACACTAGATTTCGTGAATATGTCTTCAGTTGTGAAGAGTCTCTAATTTTGCTAACGAAAGCGTTGTTTTAGCTACCTCTCAGAATCCGTTAACTCTTCGAGTTGTCTCTGTTGCTGGGACCGGTGTCGACTATGTGATCGTCGCTACCGCCTCTTCAATATGGGTCCTCAAAACTGGCTCCCACTTCCCTTATTGGCAACAGTATTCCTCTCCAAACCTTCAGGTCACGGATGCTATCCCTTCCTTTGACTCTGCAGGTACCCTTCGTATTGCCGCTACAATTTACTCCCCCAGTGGGAAAAATTATCTCATATACCTCCTCGATACTACGACTGGGATGTGGACACAGGATGCAGGTGTTCATGCCGCTACAACAGACTTGAAAGACGTAGTCGTTGATGCGAAGTTTGCTTCGGCGGTTAATTCGTCGCTGTTCGGTTACTACATCAGTGGTAACAATATATCAAAGGGTGGAAATGGAGTCATCATTGTTACTGGAGGGACCAAGTATTCTGCCCAGGCATGTCACGCGAATATCTATGAAATATGCCTTGCTCACTTCTGCTGTCTGTATCGACAGACCTTTATTGCAGCTGGAAACTACAACTCACTGGCATATGCTTCCGTCCGCCAGCCTGCAAGTCAGCCCTTACTTTTTGCTGTCGAAGAGCAGACACAGCTTGGGTGGTATTTCCAAGCTCAGAAGGATGGCACTTATTCAAGAGTCAGTGTGTTTGGGTATGTTTCTACTTTTCCTGAGTCTCGACCTAATCTAATCTCTATATTTATTGCAGTACAACGAAACTCCAAAATATCAAGGCTGCCCTCCGTGTCGCTCAAGATCTGGATGGCTTAACAACTCATACATGGATTGGTAAGCGTATCTGCGTCACTTTTTGTTACTCGGAGTCGTCTGACCCAGTGCTTTGACTGGTGCAGAGCTCTTTGCATTGGACACTTTGGGTAATATGTGGCACCAAGAATCTGACATGTCCCAAGATCCAACAATGATGACCCCTGGATTATATGCGTAAGTTAGACATATTTTTGAAATTGATTCGTCTATCCAACCATCCCTTTTCTACACAGCGTTACGAAGTGGCGTGACCCAGCTATGATCACTGGGGAAAATGTCAGTCTTTATCTCACCCAAACCCTGGATGGTTTTGCCTCTCCCCTTTGCGTAAAGAACGACAATTCATTGGCTCTGTGGGCTCAGGATCCTACCACTAGTAAGTTAGCAAAATGTTTTTACCTTACCTTTGAAAACCAACACTTCCTACCATAGGTGATTGGACAAATCAAACTGTTTCTATTGACGACACCGCTGCAACTGCACAGGTTCAGAAGAGAACAGTTTACTATGTCGAGATTACCGCTTTTGATGGCAACAATTTGCCCAACTCAGGTAACGTTATGTTAGACCACTCATTAACGACTATCTGATCCATCCTTTCCATGTCAGGCCTCACAGCTATTTTGACCAGTTCAGAGTATACCACCATCGTGAGTCTACATCTGGACGTGAGATCTTTCCAAGGACTTTACTGAGTCTTCTGGACATCTGTAGAACATAAATGGTTTCTCGGCTACTATTGATCCCGTCCGAAAGTGTACAGCCAACACCAATACAATGGGCCGAATTTGCTTCACTTACGACACTCCAGACACTCTCGCTGCACCCACCATCAGTTTATGGGTTGAAGGAATGGATGTTGATCATGTTCTCGATGTTCAACCTAGTGGGGACATAACGGCAAAATTCAAAGCTATCACGGCGGACGACTTGAAAGGTGCCACCAATCAGATCACTGGTCTCCCAATTTTGCCGAATGTGGATGATAAGTTCGTTCTGGCGTTTTTTACGAGTTAATGTGATACTTACAAGACCTTAGGACTTTGGACGCAGTGGCTACTGCTCTTGTTGGAGTAATGGATGTCGTTGACCCGGATCAACTGGTATTAGCCACACATGATCTCTCTCGCAAGTATCTCCATTCCTCCACCAGTCCTCACATTTCCAGGACCCGGAGCCGAAGTGAAAAATCTATGGGACGCATCCGTGGGCAGTCAGGGCGAGGAGTACATATTGTATTTGCCTCACAACTTGAACTGAGGAGGGGTGAACCTGCGTTGTCCGCACAACGGCTCACCGCGGATGAAGCTAGAAAACAGATTGAAGAGATCCAGAATTATAATTATCCGACTTGGAACTGGTCGTTTGGAGATTTAGCCAAAACTATTGCCAACGGGCTTTACAGTGTGGTCTCCTATACCATACAGGGCATCCAGGATGGGCTCAACGTACTGATCCAGCTCTACAAAGATGGGAAAAATTATATCTGGAATGGTATCGTCAACTTTGTACGGCAAGCTTTCGACTTCGCCATGGGGGTATTCAATAGTGTCGGCTGCTTCTTCAGTGATCTCTTTGATTGGCTAGCATACATGCTTGATTGGGGCGATATCAAGCAATCTGCTGAGACTTTCAAGACTTTACTTACTGGATTCCAGGATGAAGGAAACGTGAGTGAAGATAACATTCATCTACTTGCTTGCTTCTCCCAACGCTAACATGGTCTTTTCTTTCAGCATTTCCTCTCGGCTGTTCTTCCCAAAGCGGTTGACAGTTTTTTTCAAACTTGCAAAAGCCGCCTAGACGATAGTATCACCACTGCAAAAGCCTACCTCAATGGTGTGAGTATTGGTGATTACGACTCGGACACTCAAGCTCGCCTTCCTGGCCTTCTCGGTTCATCAGTTCAAAGTGATTTTGACTCTCTCCCGTCAACAGCAATGTGGTTGCTCAATAAACTTCTCAACGGTGGCGACCCTCAAAACGCGTTTATATTCTCCGGTACGCTATTGAGCCTTAGCGACTTATTTAGTAAATTTCAAGACGCAATATCTAAGACGGCACTATCCACCGATTTTCAAGCCGCTATCGATGACCTTGGTAATTTCTTCCTCCCATTTGGTAATCGAAATGCAATGGACGGCACTGCACTGGATGCAATCATGGACGCTATCAAGCATCTCCTCCATGTTGTTTTAGATCTGCTGGAGACACTCGTTTTGTTATTTGCAGAGGCTGCTACGCAGGCCCTCAAACTTTGGACTCAGTTCTTGAATGCACCGGTGGAACTCCTTGCCATCTCTGCCATTTTCAAAGAGATAACCGGAACAGAGTTAACGTAAGTTAATCATCCTTCACTCTGCTACATTTGTCTTATGGGCGTAGGTGTATAAATGCTGTTTGTTATGCTTTTGCGGTCCCCTTCACTCTTCTATTCAAGATCTTTGCCGGGCACGCTCCGTTCAAGAATGTCACTGCTGAACATGTATCAGATGATATTCGTGCCCTAACCCCAAGTGACGATTTGCTAATTGCTCGAGGTTGCCTGTGAGTTTCTCTGTAATGGCTTTAATTTTTGTGGACTGACGAAACAAATGACTTTCATCTAGCCAAATATGCCATGCGCCTTTTGATGGTTAGTCATTTGAGCATATCCACCAAAAATACCAATTAAATAAACCTTGTATCCAGCTTATGTTGACGTGATCGGCTCCATATTATCCAGAATCGGAACAGGCCCTACACGTTTTGTAAAGTGAGTACACATGTACTTGTAGCCTACAGTTTTCTGAGACATATTTTACCCGCAGCGCAACTACTTTCATTATTCCGTCCATCAATGCAGCACTTTCCTATGGATCCATTTCGACGCCCGGTGCAACTCCCGTATGTTATCCATATATAACTGACACCTCGTTAAATCTCAAACAGTTTTCATGCATAGCAAGCAATAACCAACTGGTCCATCTCTACTTGCGGCCCTCTTCTCAGCATAGTATGGTGTGTAAATTTCCGGTCATTTAAAATATTCTCCTGAAAATATGTTGAGGCTCTCGATTACGGGATTTAAGAAGGGACCCCGTGGTGACCCTGATGGTTATTCCCTTCTATGCCTACTCGGAGCAACAGGTTTTGGAACGGGCATTTGGCATGCCTGTGAACCTGAAGATGTAAGTCTCATATGTCTTCTGTCAGCTCTTCACTTACTGGACGATAACCAGTCATCGTCAAAGACAACAGGTGTGTAATTAATATAGTCGCTTTAGAAAATTCATATTGACACTGTCCATAGCGCTCATTGTCGCACAATTCCTTGGGCCCCTATCCAACTGTGGTAAAGTCCTTAGGGCAGTCGAGAACCCCCTGTAAGTTATATAATTCTTTGTTTTCCAATATTGAGTGTACCAACTCTATGCAGCGCCATCGTTGGTATGCTTGTCATGGACATTGTTTCCAATAGTATGTGCCCTTTAGTCTTTGGTCTGGCTTAGCATATGTACTAACTGTTGGTGCATAGTGGGTGAGGGAGCAGCGCTCATCGCTAGTGGGCTATTGTGAAGTACCTGACAGTACATGTGGGTTCATCGGAGTTGATCGATTGTAAGTTATACTGGCATTGGGGGGACCAAGTTTGTGAATGTTCCCAAGCAATGGTTTAGTGGTTGTTATCGCTTCAGTTACTATTTGGAGTTTTTGTTGTTACTTTTGGGAAATCTGGAATGGCTATTTGAACTATTGATCTGTTCAGGGATGCATATGACGACCACCAGCTTACTTATTTGTGCAACTGCTACAGCTGCAGTGAATTGCCAGAGGAGAGTCGATCACTGACAATGGATGCAAAACTGATTAAATGGAGCCGAGCATCCCACCTTGCAAAAGAAATCGCAATGAGCATGAGAGTCCCAAATATTAGCTACAGGTTAATGTCTGATATGAACTCTATAAGGGTATTGTTAAATGCTATGGTAGATGTAAGTAACTGATGTTGTGACTATAATGAAATAACATACCTCAGTCTTGTGTAGAAAAGGCTGAGAGCCAGTTCGGACAGGAAGACTCAAGCTCTTTGCTGACAAATACAATCGGAGCTTCCATGGTTCTACTCCCATCGTGATTCCAAATATGGTAAGTAGTGCAATCATGGATCCCGAACTTGAAGACAAAGATCAGCCTCAGCCTCAGCCTGAGTAGTGGCCTGAGAGTATAAAACACCTCTCTGCTGTGCTTAAGGCCATAATTTAAAACAACAAAAGGATGAATCATATGTCTAACCTCGCTTTTAGCACCGCAACTGCAGCATCAATCTATCATGCCAAATCAATGTATATGTAACAAGCAACCCTACCACACATCAAGTCTTACTGGTGAAGTGTGGGTCCAGGAATTAATTGATGGAAACCCTGACCATATCTTTGTTAATTATCTAGCAGATAAACAGCTCAGACTTTGAGTAAAGGTCTAATATATTGGAATAATGTACCTAGCAGATGAACAGCTAAAAACAAAGGATAAGCTAGGTACCCGCAATTTGATACAGAAGGGGAATCTCACCTCAGACTTCAAGTGAAGGTCCGAGGTGTCTGCCTAACAACAACAGCGTATATAAGGGAGAACAGAATCAAAAAGTAAATGTTATCTGATGGTGCATGGGCCACTCCATCTACTAGGCCTGCCTAGTTTGGCACTTGTGCCACTTCCCTTCTTCGTACAATGCTTGTTTCTCTACCTCCAACACTCCCCCTCAAGCTGTACAGAGCCCAAGTGCACTAGCAAAATGTTTGACTTTAGCAGAGGGAAGGGCTTTTGTGAGTATATCAGCCGTCATATCTTTGGTAGGACAATAGCTGATCTCAATCTTTCCATCCTCAATAGTGTGTCAAATAAAGTGATAACATATATTGATATGCTTGGTGTGTGCATGGTATTGGCCATCCTTGGATAATGTGATTGCTGATTGATTGTCGCGGCACAGTTCCGTTGGAGGTAGGTCTTCTCCGAACAGTTCACTAACAAACATCTGCATCCACAGGATTTATTTTGTCGTATGTGTGGCTGACATATTCTGCCTTTGTCATGGACAAAACAACAATTTCCTGCTGTTTCAAAAACCAGGATATGGCTCCTCCATGTAGCATAATTGTGTGGCCGGATACGGCTCGGCAATTCTTGCTCATACTCCCATTGGCATCCAAATAACCGGTGAGAGGTTGTTCTTCAGGACCATATATTAACCAAAGGTCTTTACTTCCTTTCAGATACTTAATAGCTCATTCCACTGCTTCCCAATAAGCAGGGCCCGGGTTCTCTACGAAGCATGATAAGATTGCCACCACATGTGCAATGTTGAGACGGGTTCCAATCACAGCATACATCAGGGAGCCAATGGCTTCCCTGTATGGGATATCTTTCATCGCGACAAAATTGTCAGGTGTTTGGGGGCTTTGGTCTTTTGTAAGGTAGGTATTTGCCACCAAGGAGATTTCTAACGGCTTTGCGTCTTCTAGGTTTAAACGACGTATGATGGTGTTGATGTAACCACACTGCGATAGATGTATGGTACGGGCAGGTCTGTTTCTTTTTACCTCTACCCCTAACATCCAGTGTAGCTCCCCTAGATTGCTGACTTCGAACAGTTTTGCCAGGTTGCTCTTCAAACATTTCATCTCGACTGTAGATGGCGTAACCAGGGTCATGTCATCGACATGCACCGCAACGATGGTGAGTTCTTTTCCATTTTGCCTGTAGAACACTGCATGGTCAGTTTTGCAGCGCACCAGGTCTATTTTCCGGAGTCCATTGCATAAGGTTTGATACCATCTGCGGCCAGCTTGATTCAGGCCATCTAGTGTTTTGTTCAGGCGCAACGCCATGGATTCTCGATCATGGGCACTGTAACCAGGTGGTTGACACATGAAGATGACCTCCTTATCTTCAAGTTGACCATTCAAATAAGCGCTCTTGACGTCCATCTGGTGAGTTTCCCAGTTGATTCTTGCAGCTGTTGCTAATATAATTTGTAGTGATACCATCTTTGCTACGGGCGCTGTCATGCACCAAAGTTGATTGGTAGCATGGACAGGTGTCAATAACGAAGCGAATATTCAAAAAGACTCGCCTTTGCGCCACACAGACACAGTGCCACGTGGAATAGTAATTAATATTGCCCTTTTTGAACTTGTGGCTGATCAGCACCACCTCTATTAGGCAATCTAGTCACGCTCACCTTTGCTTTTCCATCCGGTACTTTCCGCGTTTCGGCATTTCGGCAAATTTTTGCGTCGCCACTGGCTACACATTGCATTGCGCCCTCGCTTTTGTCGTTTCCCTTACTCCCCTTCCTTTGCCTAGCCCCACCATGGGCCCCTTCCTCTCCTTTTTATTCTCACCTGACGGTCGTTTCTGGATCCCCATTCTAATCCACTTTTCCATCACCTCCACCCTCCTCCTCCTCATCTTCTTTGCTCCCCCACCATTTCTGATGTCACCACTTCCTATCCGCTTCCGTCGCCGATCCGTTGACTACCACGTGCCATTGCTGATATCAGCAAAGCCCCGGCGGCCGGTCCAAATAGGGCAACAGGTCCATCTTCATGATGTCGATCTGCCATCATATACTATCAAAACATCGGTCGCTCGTCTTGCCTGGTTGGAGCGTGGGTGGGTAGTTTTTGAGCTGGAGAAGGTTCATCCCCTTGCGTCGCCCATGTACATTGCTGTCCCATTCACTTGGGTACATTTATCTTTTGTCCATTGTCTTTGCTACAGCTACACCTACCACACACTGCCTGGGACTCACTTGTTCCAAATTGGGACTACTCCTCTCCCTCCCTCGTTTGACCAGGTGGTCCAACACAACCAGTCCATTGGTAAGGCCATGGAACTGTCGGATTTGGACTAGGTGGTGGACCGGTGGCTCCAGTTTCTTTTTCTTCAGCAGAACATTCATTTACAGTGCGATTATTTTTGATTTTTGAATCATTTTTATGGACACATATTTTTTAGAATGCCTGACTGACAATAGAGGAACTGTGTTGATACTGATAGTGTTTTGCCTTGCCTTTTTTTTACTGCATCTTCCCATGACATCATGATTTTCCTGCTCTCTTTTTGCTATTGGACTTTACTTTATGGCTGTACAAACCTATGACATTACTCACAGCATTCATTGTTCTATCCCTTTTTTTTCCTTATTTTGACGACCTTATCCTGTACTACCTACGCAGGATTTGTCAGCATACATTCCTTCCTTCATGTTCTTTCTCATCCTTTTTGCACAGCTATACTGTGCATAGCCTACTTTTCTTTCACTATATAAACCCCTGTATTTTACCTTGTAAAAAAACAACAAGAAATCCAATCCAGACTTCTTCTCTAATCTTAAGTCCACTTCTTACTGCTACTTGTGATCCAGTGTGGTCACAACACTTCCCACTGCTACCACTGTTAATTGCTGTCATCATCACTCCCCACTTTTGAAGTCATTGTTATCCCTTTTGATTAGAGTCCTTCTGAGCACTACAGTTTGTGCGTCAGGAGCCTGCTATCACTGGGAACCTCGTCACCTCATCATCCTTGTCGTTCTCAAACCTACCTTGTGCTACAATTAGCAAGGTAGTGCTCATCTATACTCGTCACTAAGCCCCTATCTTCTATAAATTCAACTATCCCTCCTCCTCAAAACCCACACTCATACATCTCTGGGTTTTACTTTGAAGGATCCTCATATATACCACCCCACGAACAACCAGAGCACCCACTGTTCTAGGAGGCAAAGCCCATAAACAAGTTCCGTGGAATCTGGGAGGATTGTGTGTTAGTTTGTTTTGTGTGTGGTTTTCTAACTGCAGTTCTCATCATCGACAACGCGGAAAGTACTGAATGGAAAAGCAAAGGTGAGCGTGACTGGATTGCCTAATAGAGGTGGTGCTGATCAGCCACAAGTTCGAAAAAGGCAATATTAATTACTATTCCACGTGGCACTGTGTCTGTGTGGCGCAAAGGCAAGTCTTTTTGAATATTCGCTTCGTTATTGACACCTGTCCATGCTACCAATCAACTTTGGTGTATGATAGCGTATAATGCAACAAGAGGCTGTTGGTGGAAGAACCGGAGGTGGTTGTACAGGATGGGGATTAGGTGGATTGACAGGGCCAGGTACATTATGGGGTGCATCGTCATCTATGTCAGGTATATCTATGTTGATGAGCTCATTTCCTTTGAGCACTTGTATGGGTTCCATAGCCTCACTCTCCCCCTCAAGACCAAAAGGGGAGTCGTTGTCATTGACCAGAGGCATGTTTACGACATTAAAGTTTACTGAATGCTCAACACTAACTGAACACTTTTCAGGCCAGTAAATACAATGCCCAAGGCTTTCTGTTACAATAACATATTTTCGAACCTTTAATTTTCATTCTCCTCTTTAACCTTTTACTGTAGTTTTCACACTCTGCGCCATGCGGCACTTTCTCTTTTGTTCAAACTCCACTTTCTCGCGCTGCACTGCCTTTCCTTCTATTTTAGATACAAGTCTCTCACGCAGTGGAGCTGGCCACACGGGCTACGCTCTCTGACATCATCAGCCACTGCCTTCATCAACTGTACAGTACATATGTACAAACAAAACCTGCAGTAGTATATATACCCCAATAGATCAAGGAGACTCCTCAGCAAGTCCTCCTGTTGGTATCCTCACAACTAACTTGTTGAAGCCTAAAGGGTAACCACTCCCTCGTCATTTATCTCTATAGTTGGTTCTAGTTGTGCACCAGAGTAACAAACTCTTGGTTGTTACATTAGGACTCACTCTTTTTACTCTCTCACACGTTGTGAAAACCCGGACCCCAGGGTTAAGGGGATAGCGTTATTGTTTAGGGATATCCCATATAGCAGAAGGGTGCGCTCTTCGCAACGGCCCCATAGTGCTCTGGGAGAAAGGACAAATCACATTTTTTTTGATACATGGCCCCCAGTGTTAAGGGGAGTACCTTAGCTCAGCAGTTGGTGTGGAACCACTGTTGATTAGTTTTAGAATACAAAACTTCTTCTTCAAATACCTCTGACCAGGCTGGGCACTTGCCTCCGCCAGTCTGGAGAAGGGTTGACAGCTTAACAAGTGGACCACCCCCTGACAACCGTTCGGACCAGGGTTTATTACAATTACCTTTTATATACATTTTCAAAATACTATAGTGTGGGTAGTCGGAGATTGAGATTCGATACTCAGCTGGGAAGAGGTAGATCCACAGATAGCAAGCGGGGACCCCCAGTTACCTTTTTTTACATTTACAAAGAGAACAAGTCGACATGTTGTTGCAAAACCAACCTGACGTCAACACTCTGTTGCACAACATGCGTGCACAGATCTTGGCGTTAACTACGCAACTTGCCAAGATGCAGGCACACCCCCCTGCAGCAACCCCCTTGGTTGAGAAAAAGTTTAACAAGAAGGTCAAAGTTGTCGCTGACCCCGGCGCCTTTGAAGGAGAAAGATCACAATTTGCCGAATGGTGGATCAAGCTCCAGATTTGGATCAAGGCAAACTGGGACATTTTTGCTGACGACTGATTTTGAGGTAGCCACTGCGGTACTATCTCGACTAAAAGGACCCGTGGTGGGTCGATATGCCCAAGTTAGAATGCAGGAGTGCTACACCCTTGGAGTGTGGCCTACCTGGGATGATCTCAAAGTCGAGACCAAAAAATACTTCAAACCCCAAGCTGAGCGTGACTGGGCGCGTCAGCAGATCCGTTTCTTCAAACAAGGAAATATGAGGACAGATGATTTCGTAACCCAGTTCCTGGCCCTCTCTATCCAAGGGGGCTTAGGTAATGAACACGCAGTAGAACTGTTGGAACACAATGTGAACCCCCACATTGCAGAGCAACTCTATCTGCAGGATATGAGAAGTGACAACCTCTCCCAAGCAGCGGAGGAGGTTCATAAAATAGGTAGGGCCATAGAGCTCTACAAAATGCATCAAGGTGGTGGGCCCACCACTAAAAACAACTATTCCCAGAGGAGCCCTGGGTCAACAAACCAAAAACATAATCACTCTCATGGGTTGCAACCAGGACGGGGTGCTCCCATGGATATCGGTGCGGTCCAGGGTGGACAAAAGCGCAGATTCACCTGCTTCAGCTGTGGGCAGGAGGGACACATGGCCCGGGATTGTACAAACGGAGCGCGGGCTGCTCACCAAAAAAATTACCAAGGGCGCCAGATGCGCCAATTAGAAACAGAAAAACTGGATGATTGGCTCCAGACTCTGGCCGGTCGTTCATACGACGAAATCAGAGCTTTCTTCTATGACCAACAGGTCAATGAAATGAAAGCTCAGGGAAAAGAGTTCAGAGCTTAGGTCACTTGGGTGCCTTCGCTCCATGAGACAATGAAGTAAACCACAACAAAGTGGCCCCTGCTCCGGGGTGTTGCACGAGCAATAATGGAAAGAAGGGGATGGCTCCCCAATTTGTAAATAAATTTGTAAATTTGTTATCTGAAGTATGTACTTGTATACGAAGCTGTGACTGTGGATTTGTCTTGGACCCACCTGACGATATAGCTGCTTTAAGTGCTGATTCAGAGGGTCAAGATGATGAAGGAGTTGATGCTAGAAATACTTATAATACCACTACTGTATCAGCGTCTCCCCTGGAGTATGGCCCCGGCGAGACAAACAATAGGGTGCTTAATTCTGGTAAAAATAAAATAGAAAAACATGTTTCTTTTGATACTTCTTCTTCAGAGCCACCCTTTCCCAAAATTCCAAGGCGTGTGTTGATGCGCATATATTTATTCCAAAAGGAGATCTGTTTAGATGTTGGCGTGGAAAACCTTGCCCGAGGCATAGTATGCCCAACTAGCGCACTGCTTGATTCAGGCGCAAATGGCATTTTCATAGATCAGGTCTGGGCGGAGCAAGTTGGACTCCCCCTTGTAAAACTAGATGTATCTATTCCCATCTATAACATTGATGGTACGCTTAACGCGGGTGGCTGTATCACGCACAAATGTTCTTTTGTTGTCAAGTACCAAGGACACAGAGAACGAGTCACTGCCAAAGCTACCCAAGTAGGGAAGATTAATTTAACTTTAGGCTGGACCTGGCTATTTAAACACAATCCTGAGATTGACTGGCAGACAGGGGTTGTCACATTGTCACATTGCCCTCAGGAATGTAAAAACTTGGGTAAATCAAGTCGCGTCCGTCAAAATGAGTGTCTTGAAAAGATAAACGCTGGTCACGTTTATGAGCTCAGATCTTTAGAAAAGATCAATGATGATGATGACAAGGTAAAACCCGAAGAAGAGATTAAGAGGCTGGTGCCTCCCAAGTACCATGACTTCTGGAAAGTCTTTTCCAAACATAAATCAGAGCGCTTCCCAGAGGCTAAGCCCTGGGACCATGCTATAGATTTGAAGGACACATTCAAACCTAGAAAGGGACACATGATTCCCCTCTCTGCTCCAGAAAGAGACGAGGTTTATAGTTTCATAAACAAACAGCTTAGGAAGGGTTACATCAGACCTTCCAAGAGCCCTATGACGTCCCTGGTGTTCTTCATTCTTAAGAAGGATGGAAAGAAGCGCATGATTATGGACTATTGTTATTTGAATGAGTACACAGTTAAAAACGCATATCTGCTGCCTTTGATTAGTCAGCTAGCAGACAAGTTGGCTGGCGCCAAAATATTGACAAAGATGGATCTCAGATGGGGGTACAATAATGTACGCATCAAGGAAGAAGATGCTTGGAAGGCCACGTTCACGTGCCACCAAGGATCCTTCGAGCCCCTTGTCATGTTCTTTGGGTTGACCAATTCACCAGCAACCTTCCAGAGCATGATGAACAAGATTTTTGCGGATATGGAAAACTGTGTCATCATTTACATTGATAATTTATTAATATTTACGAAGTCGGACGATGAGGCTGAGCATGACAGGATCATGCAAAAAGTCCTTCAACGCTTACAGGAACGGGACCTATTTGTCAAACCTGAGAAATGTAATTTTAAAGTGAAGGAAGTAGACTTCCTTGGTATGATAATTGGCCAGAACGGAATCAGGATGGACCCTGAGAAAGTTCAAGCTATTGGACTGGCCCAAACCTACTCGCATCAAAGGAGTTAGGGCCTTCCTTGGCTTGGGCAATTTCTACCGAAGATTTGTTAAAAACTTTGCAAAAATAATGAGACCGTTGAACGATCTCACTAAAAAGGACATTGTTTGGCATTGGGGCGCCAAGGAACAAGAAGCTTTTGATCAACTTAAACAGGCATTTACAACAGCGCCCATATTAGCATTTCCAGAATTAGACAAAGAGTTCTGGCTAGAAACCAACTCTTCTGATTTTGCTACTGGGGCTGTTTTATCAATTAAATGCCCTGACAATCTTTGGAGGCCTTGTGCCTATTTATCACATAGTTTGTCGCCTACAGAGCACAACTATCAAATTTACGATAAGGAGATGCTGGCCATCATTCGAGCTTTAGAGCACTGGCGGCACTACTTAGAAGGTGCTAGGCACATATTTGAAATCTGGACTGATCATAAGAATCTGGAGTATTTTATGATGGCCCAAGACTTGAACCGGAGACAGGCTCGCTACGCGGTGTACCTGTCTAGGTTTAATTATAAATTAATTCACAAGCCTGGAACTTCAATGGGAAAAGCAGACACTTTATCCAGAAGAGAGGATCATGCCAAAGGCATCGAAGATGACAACAAAGGTGTTACCCTGATAGACTGATCAAGGGTTGCCAATGTTAGAATTGGGCAGGATTCCGATCTTTTGGAGGTCTTCAAAAAAGACATCTCCTCAGAAGAGAAGGTGTGCCTTGACAGCAATGAGAACTACTTATGGGAAGATGGGCTCTTCCGTTTCAAAGACAAAATCTATGTGCCTGAGTCCGCAAGGATCAAGGCAATAGATAGACATCACGATACTCCAGTGGCTGGGCACCCTGGGTGGCAACAAATGATGGAGTTGATCTCCAGAAACTACATGTGGCCTGGCATGGTCAAAGACGTACAGGAATACGTAAAATCCTGTCTAAGATGTGCCATGGCTAAAAACTCACATCAACCGCCGGCTGGGAAACTTATGCCAAATCTGATACCAGCTAGTCCCTGGCAAGATATATCGGTTGATTTTACGACGGATTTGCCTGAGTCAAACGGGTATGATTCAGTAATGGTGGTAGTAGATTGCTTCTCCAAATTTATATCTACCAATAAAACTATTACCGCCGCTGGTATGGCAGATCTATTTAAAGATTTTGTATGGTCTATCCACGGATTTCCGGAAACGCTTATCTCCGATAGGGGACCACAATTTGCTAGCAAATTCACAAAAGAACTATGCCGGATGCTGTTATAATTGACGTACCAGTACCTACTTACACTTCACCTTTTTTGTACTTTTACTTTTATTTTTCCAAGTCAAATGACCAGTCATGTGACACAAAACCTGACCAGAGTCTAGACTCAGCATGTGACCGGTCACATGCTAAACATCGGACTTTAAACTTTATTTACAACTGTACAGTACCTCATGTATTTTAGTATATATACAGGAGCAATACATGGGGAAGGACTCAGCAAGTCCTCCTGTTGTCTACCAACAACTAACTTGTTCCTACCCAATGGGTAACCACTCCCACCTCTTCCTCCTCTTTTGAGTGTTGTTTTCATTGTGCTCCAGTGCCCCAAGACTGTGTCTTGTTGGTGTTGTCACACCCAACGCACTGGAGCTGGAACTCCCAAAACGAATGAGGGTAGTACCCACGGTCAATATTAGCCGTGTGAAACCCTATAAAGGGCTGCTGCCGGGACAGCACGTAGACCGGTGTCATGCACCAAAGTTGATTGGTAGCATGGACAGGTGTCAATAACGAAGCGAATATTCAAAAAGACTCGCCTTTGCGCCACACAGGCACAGTGCCACGTGGAATAGTAATTAATATTGCCTTTTTCGAACTTGTGGCTGATCAGCATCACCTCTATTAGGCAATCCAGTCATGCTCACCTTTGCTTTTCCATTCAGTACTTTCCGCGTTGTCGATGATGAGAACTGCAGTTAGAAAACCACACACAAAACAAACTAACACACAATCCTCCCAGATTCCACGGAACTTGTTTATGGGCTTTGCCTCCTAGAACAGTGGAGTGGTCTGGTTGTTCGTGGGGTGGTACGTATAAAGATCCTTCAAAGTAAAACCCAGAGGTGTATGAGTGTGGGTTTTGAGGAGGAGGGATAGTTGAATTTATAGAAGGATAGGGGCTTGGTGACGAGTATAGACGAGCACTACCTTGCTAATCGTAGCACAAGGTAGGTTTGAGAACAACAAGGATGACGAGGTGACGAGGTTCCCAGTGATAGCAGGCTCCTGACGCACAAACTGTAGTGCTCAGAAGGACTCTAATCAAAAGGGATAACAATGACTTCAAAAGTGGGAAGTGACAATGACAGCAGTTGACAGTGGTAGAAGTGTGAAGTGTTGTGACCACACTGGATCACAAGTAGCAGAGTAGTGAACTTGAGAGTAGAGAAGAAGTCTGGATTGGATTTCTTGTTCTCTTTTTACAAGGTAAAATACAGGGGTTTATATAGTAAAAGAGAAGTAGGCTATGCACAGTATAGCTGTGCAAAAAGAATGAGAAAGAATATGAAGGAAGGAATGTACGCTGACGAATCCTGCGTAGGTAGTACAGGATAAGATTGTCAAAAAAAAAAAAAAAGAAAGGGATAGAACAATAAATGCTGTGAGTAATGTCACAGGTTTGTACAGCCATAAAGTAAAGTCCAATAGCAAAAAGAGAGCAGGAAAATCATGATGTCATGGGAAGATGCAGTAAAAAAAGGGCAAAGCAAAACACTATCAGTATCAACACAGTTCCTTTATTGTCAGTCAGGCATTCTAAAAAAATATGTGTCCATAAAAATGATTCAAAAATCAAAAATAATCGCACTGTAAATGAATGTTCTGCTGAAAAAAAGAAACTGGAGCCACCGGTCCACCACCTAGTCCAAATCTGACAGTTCCATGGCCTTACCAATGGACTGGTTGTGTTGGACCACCTGATCAAACGAGGGAGGGAGAGGAGTAGTTCCAATTTGGAACAAGTGAGTCCCAGGCAGCGTGTGGTAGGTGTAGCTGTAGCGAAGACGATGGACAAATGATAAGTGTACCCAAGTGAATGGGACAGCGATGAACATGGGCGACGCAAGGGGATGAACCTTCTCCAGCTCAAAAATTACCCACCCACGCTCCAACCAGGCAAGACGAGCGACCGATGTTTTGATAGTATATGATGGCAGATCGACATCATGAAGATGGACCTGTTGCCCTATTTGGA